AGCTCGCTTTTTCACATAGCAAGAACCAATCTTTTCTTTTTTTTTTTTCTCGCTTTCACTTCTTCTTCTATACATCTTCTTCCCTTCTCTCGCCTCTTCTCTCGCGGCAATGCCTCTGGGGTGGGTATCGGAGGCACAGTGCCGTAAAGGGCAATAATCTACGCCAGCACAGCAAAACAGATTGTATGCAGGTATGCGCGGAGGGTGATGCAGGTGATCAGTCTTCGAGGGTGGATTTTAAAATAGAACCACCAGCATCCATACACACACATACACATGAAAAGGGGAAGGGTAAAGAGATGGGCGGCGAGCCATGACCGACAAAGTAAATTGGGTCGGAAGGTGAAGGAATATTGAGGGTGTCATGGCTATTATCCTCAGGTGAATGCTCCGTGTCGAGTGAAGTCGTGCTTCTGCAAGCGATAACACTTGATTCCCATAGGAAGGTACTCTTTCTCTCGCAACCGGGAGAGAGGGAGAAAGGTTAGAGCAAAGAAACGAAGACGGGAAAAGAGCCGTTCTTTTGACGGCACTTTACATGGGGGTTACCATTACCGGACGGAAGCGCAGCCTTTGGTGTCCCTTCCCCCATCCCATCGAAAGATGCCGACATGTGAACTGCTCGTCCCATCTGCCCTTGTACTCCGGCCCTATCGCCCGGCTCAGCTGCGATGCAACGCCAGTGAACTTTCAAGGCCCATTCGGTTGGCATCGCCGAAAGAAGGGATGCCTTGCGCAGCGGCATTTACATCAAGGAAATGGAAGGGGAGCTGCTGAGATAAACGGAGACGGGCAACCATTTGTTTTGGGCGGGCGGAGTCGCGGTCCTGGAATCATATCCGCTCATTTAAGCCAAGGGTAGTAGTAAGAGCGAATTAACAAAACAACAACGGAGTACGGGACGGAGCGCAGCAGAAGGCAGGTACAGCAACAAGACGAAAAAGGACAAAAGAAGAAAAAACCACGGTGTTGCATGAACAAAGGAAACATCAACTCGCTATTCGTGTAATAAGCCCCCACCTTCACTCGCATGCCTGGACGGACCAGGGCTTGAAGATGTGGGATGAAGAAAACCGAGGTGAAAACGGAAAAGCATCCAGCCACAGAGCATGATTTCGGTCAGCCTGCCCGCGGTTGATGGAACGTCTGCTGAACCATTTGTTGATTTGTCGCTGGATTCAATTCAAACCTCAATTCGCGAGGGGGTAGGAATCGAGCTGACGAGGTTTCGCCGCTCCACGTCAGCGCGGCCCCATTCTCGGAGGCGCCATGACATTTATCTCTAGGCATAAGGGATGGCACCAGTTGAGAAGATATCTCAGCTGTGCCCACACTGGATGAGGATCCTCGAACGATTAAGAAAGTCCGAGATCGTACCGCAATGTTGGAAGTTGTCAGATGGGTGCCTCGGGATGATGCGATGCCATCGTCGGAGGATCATGCAAAGACATAGACCTTCTCCCAAAAGGATCGAAACTATTATCCCGCCGCAATAGTGTAGATGCGAATCCAGACTACCGTAATGGACCGACGTTCAGGCCTCGTAGGGCCCGGCTGCCTCGACGTCATTAGATCGCCGTCCCTTTCCGATTTAAGTCGATGGCGCACTCTCTCTCGCCTCCTTCCCTTTGTCACGTCGCCTCTTCTTTTCTCGTCATCCTCGACTTCTATTTTTCTCTCATTGTGATCGGATGCATCAAAAGAAGCAAGGCAAAGAGGCGTGATCCAATCAGGAGAAGGGTGGTGGTTCTTATTTCTGGGTTAGGAAATGGCTCGAAACACGGCTGGTTTCATGTTAGTCGTCATGCCGCCCAATCACATTGATGCTACCGGCCAATTTTGCCGGCTTCATGCATCCTTGGCTCGTCCAGGTTGACCCCCGGCCGATTCGAATACACTACACATTGGATTCCAGAATTGAACAACGGACGGACGGGAGGGATGATCTAGCAGGGCAACAACCCATAGACCTACTTGTACAGAGGCGAAAATGGTGAAGCCTTTCGGCCGTTACCTTTCCTTTCTTTTGCGTAGCCAGTCTGCCAAAGGCCCGTGCACCTACTCGATGTCTGGTGTTGAGCGATGTCGCGCTTTTTATCTCAAGTCGACAAGAGGCCAATATTTCACGCATGGGGCCCGCTCTCGATGCGCTCTGCCAAGAAGAGGTCAATGTGGAAAGGGCGGGGGTTTTCTTGGGGGTTTTCTAAGGGAGGGGAGAGGGGGAGAGGGGGAGAGGGGGCAAAAAGGATAGCTAGCACGATTGGAAGCCGGGTGATCAAGCGTTCACAGGTGCTGCGCACTCGTGCTCTTGGTTCACCAGAGCGCCTTGAAAACCATGAGCTCAGTCAATTGCCACAATTCGAGGCCGATCCTGAGAGGAGCATTGCTCGTCTCTTCCGTTGGCGACGTGTTGACCGTTTGATCACGAGCCGATCCCATTTGAAACACTTACTTCTTCGTCAGCTTGCCTTAGCGTCTTTTGCATTGCGGATTCCCTCGTTGCGACTGGAACGCCACCCTTTTCAAACCCTGGGATTCGCCCAGCGCCTCGTGGAGCGTCCCACATCCACCATCGACGTTGCATTCAGGGCGGCCTGCCAACTGTGCATGAGCGTGTTCCAGCCTGGCATCGAGACGACCTTCTAGTCCCTTTTAATCCTCACCTTTCATCGCAGCGCCCAAACCGTCTTTCTGGGTCCGCGGCGAAAGAGAGCTGATCTAGCGTGGACTCGACTGACGGAAGCCATGGCCCCCACAAGGACATCCACTCCTGCAATTAGCTTTGGAAACAGGACCACTTGTAGAAACGGCGCGGCGGCTTCGTCGAGAGGCAACAATGGACCCAGATCCCTCACGTCGTCAAACATGTTTCGAGTCAATGAAGGAAGGCAAAAAGAGATTGGAGGGCTTGGGCCACGTTAACCAGCTTTCTCTCTGCTCCGTAACATTTTCCTTTTTCGTCTGCAACTATTAAAAGAAATGGCTCCAGGTTAGCGCTCGCTCTGGGGCAAAACGGAGGGCTCGGCTTGGAATACTCAACGGCTCGTCTGGCCTCGATTCCGGTTCCCGTTTGTGCTGTGGCAACAAGCCGAGGTGCCAGGGCTAGGAAGCCCAAACCAAACCTGCCATGAAAAGTTACTTTGCGTTTCCCGAGACCTCCCTCCATCGGCTCAGCTCCCTCTGCAGTGTGCGGGATTCTCGCCGATGAGGGAATCTGCAGATCTTCTTCCTTGGGCCGAAACCAATTCGCCCCTTCACCGACGATTACGGATAAGTTTTTCGCGATCGCTGGAGGGATCGTCCACAACTGCCAAGTGAGATGATGACGGGGGCGAAAGGAAAATGAAGAGGTTGTCAGGTTGTCTACGAGCCCTTCTCGATCACTCCTCTTCTATCGTGCGGAGTTTGCGAACGGAAGCCCACGAATGGGGCATTTCCCGGGGGCTCGGGGATAGGCTCCACAAGGGCCCTAGCATGAGCCGTGAGCACCACTGATGCACGAGGGCGAGGATACGAAGTCGGGTAGCACTAGTAACCTCTTTTTGGTGATATCGTACTCTTTTGTTTTCAAGCATGGCCCGATGGCGGATTACCACCCGCCTATCTCGTCCTCCGCCGAGCCTCCTCCGAGAAGAGCAAGAGCGAACTTCAGACGGACGAGTTTCGACCTTCAATGACGTTCATGCTCGGCCACACGTTACCGATGACGACTCACCGTTGCCCATCGGCTGGAACGTCCGTGATGAATCGTGCCTTGTGGAATATATCCCATCGTCGAGTCAACAAATTGCACGATCCCTCTGACCCCATCTGATCGTGTTGGCAATTCAGGTACATGCTCGGTACCGTTCGTTACGCGAGCTGATACGCTCTGATTTGACGCCAGAGAATTCACGACACGAGGGTAATAACTTCCCATTCGCCGTGCATCCATTTCCCCTCATCCCCTTAACCATGCGCTAAGGAAGGGGCTCAGGGCTCCGGCTACTTGCGAGCGCCTCCGTTTTACTTGGCCGTAAGAACCTAGAAAACCGAGGGCCGAGTAGCCTATGCTGTGCTCATCAGCGCTGAACTGTCTGAACGGGGATCTGAAGTCCCTGAAGTCCCCGCCTCCCCCTGTCTTCCGCATTGATTTCAAACGGAGCTACCAACCAGAATCGCAATCGCGCCTTCCCCCAAGAAGAGACTGGCCAATCAGCGTCGGCCCCGGGCCAAGATCGAAACGAGGTGGAACGTTAGAGTGTGGAACCCAGCGACGACCAGTGAAGAACAACTGCCCAATTCTTCCAGATTGACAACCCATCCATTCCTTGGAGAAAGCAGGAACGGAGAAATCCAACGTCTGGTTCTCCTGCTGCTCGATTTTTACCACATTTACCACATTCACACACCCCTTTTCTTTTTACCGTCAACTTGCACTTGCCCTCCGTTCTGTTTCCCCAAGCATCGCATCTTGGCCCCACCCACCAAGCCGACGACCCTCAATCATTTGATTTCGCCCCTCCTCCCATGCTGTGTCGTGCCAAGCGCCGACTCTTTCCCCCTTGCCTAGCCAGCCGAGTGCTCCCCTCCACCTCTGCCCAAAATCCTAAATAACATTCAACAGCCTTCCACCACACCATTCCTCCCTTCCCATCATCCCACCCCCTTCTGCATATCTGACCACGACCGTACCCTGCAACGGGGCCAAAGCGAACAGCAGAGCGATCGTGCTTGTTGAACAAGAATCCGAACCTGGTTTCTTTCTTTTCGCGTCGTGTTGAACGCCTTTAGCTCGCGGTCTCTCATCCTTACTTTTAGTTCCGACGACCTTGCTCTCACAACCCAACCAACTCTCAACGTCCCGTCGACTGCTGCGAGCCCAACAATCCGACTCAACATCGTCCAACTCACCGAGAATCCCAGACAAACGGTGTCAGGCTCCGATTGAAACAACTCTTTTTACCGTAACGAATTTCATCCACGACCATTATAGTCTGGCCACAGGGCATTCAAACACCATGGCGATGCTCGCCCCCAAAACGCCCTTTGCCGGCTCGCTCGGCTCTGGCGCGGCCATCGTCCCCAGTGCCCAGTCCTCCAACATGGCTCCCCCAAGGAGAGCTCCGACTCTGCCGACACCCAGCGCCAATCTCGCAAGCCCGACACAGTCCGAGTTTTCCGACGGCGATAGCCCCGATGCAGTCAAGAACTGGGGCGTCGACCAAGTCTGCGATTATCTTCGAACTGTCAAGTGCGGAGAGTACGAGAAGATTTTTAGGAAAAACCACATCAATGGAGAGAACCTCCTCGAGATGGACAAAGAGGTCCTAAAGGAGATGGGCATCGAGAAGGTCGGCGATCGCGTTCGCTTGTTCCTCGGCATTAAGAAGCTGAGGACGCGCGCCTACGCCAACCAGAAGAAACGCAATAGGGTATCTAGATCTTTCTCGCCCCTCTCTCTTCGCTCCTCTTATGCTATCCGGCTTTTTCATGCCTACGCCTCCTTTGGAGCCCGTACTAACCCACAATCACCCTTGTAGGATTCCTTCGGCGGACTTGATATCCAGTATATCCCGAGTAGCGGCTCGCCTCGCCCCGGTCGAAACATGGGCCCTTCCAGCCGACAACCATACGGCTCAAGGCCGTACGATGGCTCGATGGATATTGCGAGATCCGAATCCCCGTCTTACACTGCGGACCCTCGACGGCAGCGTCTCAACCATGGGGCCTCGAGACACCCCGGCTCGCCTGCCGAGCCGCAGTCGGCGCGTCTGGTAACTAGCCATACCAGGAATAACTCCAGTATGGATGGTTCACTGATGGCTGGCTTACCACAGGGTCAAGACGTCATCCGCGTAATTTGCACGAACGGTGTGACCAAGGTAGTCAAGATCGCCGACTGCAGCACCTGCGAGGAAGTGATGCGAGTCACGTTACGAAAATTCGCTCTCCGCGAAGACCACGAAAGAAATTACTGCTTCTGGGTCTTGGATGGCCTCGAGCCCGACCCTCACTCGTGCCGGCGGCTGGGCGATACCGAACTTTGGCGCATAATAAAAGACCAGAAGCGTCTCGAGAGGAACCGCCTCATCTTACGACGGGTGCCCGCCGGCGCACCCGGTGACGCGGAGCTCCAGCGCGCTGCGGCCATCGCCATGGAGGAGGCACAGCAAACCCGCGCGCGTGCGCTCGAGAACACGGACAAACGCAGCCAGGTAAAGTTGCAGAAACTCTTGGGCGAGGGTTGGGACGAAGGCCTTCGTCAACCTGGCTCAGCAGGCCGTGGTGGGTATTCGTCGTCTAGCGCCCAGGGTTATGACCATTCCCCTGTGGAGGAGAGTCGGCCAAGGGCCAGGAACCGCCTTCTACGGCAGTTTGGCGGGCTTCGTCCGCCCAGCGAGCTCATCACGTCTGATCTTACCTCGTATTTCCCCGACCATCCTCGCGAGGACATTGACCGCACGGCTCGCATGTCACTACGCCGATCGACGCGCCTTAGCCGAGTCAACCATCGTCTAAGCGTAGCTAGCAGCGTCAGCTTCGCGTCTAGCATCCAGGACGCGCCCCCATCCCCACGATTGCAGACTCGTGGTTGAATGCAACAAATCAGTCCAAAAACCGCCCTCAGAATGCCATGGGCCGTCTGCAGTTCCGCGACTCGGTAGCATCGTCGATGCTCGATACCCTTCAGGAAGAGTCTCCTATTGACTCGACGCGCAAGTCGTTCACCTCATTCGCCGACAGCAGCTCAGATGGAGCCAGCCTCAGCGTGACGGACCCCGAAGGGAACACTGTCATGCGCCGCGGGTTCTTCGACGGCAGTGCTGACTCGACGGGATCGGGCTCCTTCCAAGACATCAAAGAAGCGCTCAACGAGGACGGAGAGGATGTGGATGAGGAGCTGCAGAGCTTCCTTGCGGGCGAGTCCTGGGACGACAACAAGTGGATGAAGGGCGCTCTGATTGGGCAAGGTTCGTTTGGTAGTGTGTACCTCGCCCTCCACGCCATCACTGGCGAGCTGCTCGCTGTGAAGCAGGTAGAGACGCCCGCGCCAGGCGCCAACAGCCAGAACGACAACCGCAAGAAGAGCATGATTGAAGCCCTGAAGCGCGAAATTAGCCTTTGCGGGATCTCAAGCACCCCAACATTGTGCAGTACCTCGGCTGTGGCTCATCCTCGGACTATCTCAATATTTTCCTCGAGTACGTTCCCGGCGGCTCGGTCCAGACGATGCTGAACTCGTATGGAGCGCTGCCAGAGCCGCTCGTGCGGTCGTTCGTACGACAGATCATCACGGGATTGTCGTACCTTCACGGTCAGGATATCATCCATCGAGACATCAAGGGTGCCAACATTCTTGTGGATAATAAGGGCACCATCAAGATTTCCGATTTCGGCATCTCCAAGAAGCTGGAGGCTTCCAACATACTCAGCGGTGCTAATAACAACAAGCACCGACCTTCGTTGCAAGGATCCGTCTTCTGGATGGCGCCCGAGGTGGTGAAGCAAACGTCGCACACACGCAAGGCAGACATCTGGTCTCTCGGGTGCCTGGTTGTGGAGATGATGACGGGTACGCATCCGTTCCCCGACTGCACGCAGCTTCAGGCCATCTTTAAGATTGGCGGGGCCAAGGCGAGCCCGACGATTCCCGAGCACGCCAGCCAAGAGGCCAAGGACTTTTTAGCCATGACGTTTGAGATGGATCATGAGAAGCGTCCCGGCGCGGATGAGCTCATGCTCAGCCCCTTTTGGTTCCCATTACTTGATCTCGACATATTGTCTGGTCTAAACGGGCGTGAAGTCGGGTCGGGGGCAAACAGAGAATCCGCCCACTCTGAGCTTCGGCTCATGCGCGCGCGCGCCCTTCTTCCCCACCCTTGCTCGTTGTCTCCCTTCTTCTCTTCACCTTGCTTCTACGATTTCCTCCACCCTAGAGAACTTTACAACTTGGCAACTGCATGACTTTTTTTTCTTTTTTTCTCCACAACTATATCTCTCAAAACAGAACCCCCCCGGCAAGGCAGGATACCCCCAGGGATCTTTTTCTTACATTGAGGCTGAGAGGGGAACTGGGACCGTCACCTGGCGACGGTGGGGCATGGCCATCCGATAGCCCCTTCAGACGAGTGGCGTTGGTGACCGTAGCAGATGACACACTCCCCTGTCTCTCTCCGTCTCGGCCCTTTTACTTGGCTTCTTATGTGCCTTCTCTTTTCTATACCCCGAACTTGAAATCGGATTTCGATCGCCACTTTTACTCCAGAACTCTGGGCCGGCATCCCTCATCTTGGCAGTTTGGGAGTCACATTTCCCCTCCTGGCGTTCTTCTTCTTCCTATTCTCCGGTTTATTTGGTTGTGTTAATGTTGAGAAAAATGTGGAAAGCAAGTATAAAAAGGAATGAGAGAATGAAGGACTCTATAGCCCCGCACACTACGATGCCTGTCCTTTATCTTTCTTTCCCTTTTGCTTCCAATTATTCTATACCTTGTTTTGTTTTCCTGTTGCTCAGTGCTGGCGAAACATGGCAAAGCCGAGGGTAGCTTGCGTTTTATGATAGCGAGCATGGAAGCGTGGTCCTTTTTGGGATTTGTTCCGTCTCTTCATTTGTCCTTTTTTTATTTTGATAGAATTATATGTATGAAATGGAACGATTCGTTATGCCTCACAGGTAACATGTAAACAATAGTTGTGTCTCAATCCTTGTTCTGTTTATTTCTCGCCACAGTCGTTCTCGTCGAGTCCGTTACAAACACCAAGACGCAAGAACATGATACCCATTGCAAGAGCCGTGGAAATTAGAAACTCGATAGCATCCTGCGAGGCTGAAGCCACCCGAGTGGCAAATTGGGGACTTTATCAATCAGCGTATGTCATTTTCAATTTTATTGGACACTGATGCAGCTCTGATGCTAAATCAAGAGTCGGCCGCTGGCGTAGGAGGTGCTGGAAGTGTAAATTCACATTTAGCATCTACGTTGGATCCATAGCGCAATTTGTACATGTGTGGATACATGGCACTCAACAGTGAAAGCATTGATCAATTTGATCCACCCAACTAATTGATCCATTATGTCGGGCAGTTATTGGGATCAGCAAGAGGGCCCAAAGGCCTTCAACGCTCTGGAGGGTGGCCGGCGTTGAATTTAGTGTGTCGGGCGACCATTAGCATGAAGTATGCGGGCCTAACCGAGGGGCCAACAACCCCTCCACCACTGATCAATTGATCCTTCCCGCCTCTCGAGTTGACGTGATGAATGTTCGAGGCCACCTATTATCTGATCTGGCGTTGATGGTCGTCTACCTATGATCAAGTTTCCAGTGGGCTCCCTCTTCCCTCGTGATCGAGTTCTATTCCTTTGAAGGATCGTGCCGACTCTGCGGACTCTGCCTAGAGTAAAGAGAGAGGCTGGTGTGACGCCAGACGGACGTATTGACGAGTGCGAAATCGAGAGCGAAATCGAGAGAAGGAGAGGAAAACTACAACTACAACAAAGGTAAAAGTGGCGAGCTTTCGAATCCTTCGAATTAGTTGAGCCTTTGGCTTTTCAAAAATTTGATAAGCCTCGCCAATTTTAGGTGAGGGCGTTTGTGGGCGGGAGTTGCGTCGTGAGTCGAGGTGGACTCTCGTCTGTAGAAACTTGGTTCACCAGCCTCTTGGCTCCCTCCAACGTCGCACATTGCACGAGGAATGGCAGTGACGGCGCGGCTAACGAAGGGAGGGGAAATTGGCAGGCGCGCGTTTGAGGAAAATGGGGCACATTCCCCATGCTCCCCTGCCTCTGTTCCTCTCCGAGGGTTACACGCATCGCACAAAAGGAGGAGGTGCAAGGGGAAACCCTCTTCCTTAGGACCCAAAAGATAGGAGGGTTGGCTGAAAGGAAGAGGGCGAGATGGCACAGTTTAACCGCGCCTCACCAGTGCCCGGGGATGGGTTTTTGCAGTGGGCAGAGAAGAGCGTTCAGGGTCTGCTCGATTGATGGGTTGCGGGAACCCCTGCGCGACCCACCCTTGCTGCACCGCCCGCCAATGACATAATTCGGGGTATGCCGGACCAGGATAGTCTCCCGCCCAAAGTGTTTGAGAGGGTGGGGCTCATCTTCCACTCATCTTTTGCTCTTGTGTTTTTTTCTCTTTTCTTCCCCTACCTCACTTGCCTCAGTAATACAACTCAATGAGAAACAGACAAAGTCGAGCCGAGTTGGCGGGGCAGGGCTGTGACTCGCCTAAACCGCAGGAACACCCACTTTCCCACCATTTGCCCTCCGCGCCCCCAGTCCGCGGGGCCTAGGACAATAGGAATCTGACAGGTGCATTGACTACTCTGCAGCCCTCTCACTACCAGTACGCTGGCAAAGGAGGGAGGGATAACAGGAGGATACACACCCAGTCCGGTGGCGGGGAGGGAAGGGGGAGGCAAAAGATGCGCAGAGCGCAAAGACGCACAAGATCTGGATAGGGGAAGCGCGACCTAGAATGCGCAGAGAGCGCAGAGACGCACAAGTTCTGAATGGGGAAAGCGCGACCCAGGATGCGCTCAGCGCAGAGACGCCGCAAAGGCGCGCAAAGTTGACAAGGGGAAGAGGTGGGTAGGGCGAAGGCTGCATATTCTTTTTGGCCTCTTGTTCGTGACCTAATGTTTCCATCCTTTTGTTTTCTTCGAGCAGGGGACCTTGAATTCTATTCTTTTTCTTTTTCTTTTCTCTTTTGTTATTTCGCCGCGGACAAGGTAAATAGGTAACTTGATGCTTGAAGTCTTATTCGCCTTGCCCTGGGAGCAACACTACATGTAGTGACCAAGGACTGACTACCCTTAGGATATAAGGATCCGGCCAAGGACCGTTCTTCCCGGCCGGTTTCTACACTTTTTCTCTCTCTCCTTCTTGGTTATGCTTTCTGCTTATCCACTTTGTTCATCTTCGTCTTATATCTTCCTCGACCAAGTTTCCACGCTCTGACTTGCCTTTTATCTCCTTCTCTTTTTCTATCTCTGCCATCTGCTTTTCTGCCGGTTTTGAGGACTAGTTCTGGACATCGAACCCGCCATCCCCCCGATTCGCTAAGCGCGCCTTCTCGTTGGCCAGCCCTATTAGAACACCCCCTCCGGCTACCGCTAAATCCCATTTTCATCCCCAATATCTGATTCTTCCTGCAGATCTAGGCAGACACCCGCTCTATCTTGCTCAACACCCCGACAAGGACTCGACTCACACGAAAAGAAAGAAAAATACCTTCAAGAAATTCCTGAGGAACAAAAACCCGGGATAAGGGAGGAGACAGTTAAGAGGCCACAAAAACAAAAAGTTCAACACAGGGGAGGAAGAGAAACGACTTACAAGGAGGGAAGCGTACACCACCACGGAAAGGAGGGTTTTCGGAGCCTCTCGCTCTCCCTTTCTCTCTTCTTTCTCCCTCAATTCACTCTCTCTCTATCTTAGCCTAGCCAACTCATCAAAGAGGTCTAAGAAGAAAAAAATAATCAAAATGTCACAAGATAGCTCCATTTCGCAATCGAGCGTCTTGACGGCCTCCCCAGCCCACGATGAGATTCTCTACTTTGCCTATGGCCCCACCATGTCTTCCGCCGCCATGCTACACCACTGCCCGGGTGCCGTACCAGTCGCCCTAGCCTACCTCCCCGGCTGGCGGTGGTTCGTCAATCCCCGCAGCCAGGCCAGCATCGCGCCGCTCCTTCCTTCCGCCCTCGACACCTACCACGCCACTCGCACGGCCGCCACCTCTTCCTCGCCATACTCTTCTTCTTCCTCGAGAACGTCCGGATCTGACTCGTCCGCTGCCGCGGCAGCAGCGGCGGCAGCGGCACAAAAGGAGATTCTGCAGGGCGAAGATGGCGTGTACGGCGTCCTGTACCTCCTCCCCGAGCGTGATGAAGCTGCCTTGGATATCATCGAGGGCGTGGGTGAGGGCTTTGACAAGGCCGTTTTAGAAGTAGAAATCGCGACGCCGACGCCACCAAACTCCGATGCGGGACGGACCGGATACGCGAGCGGCGAGGCCGGCACGGGGGTTGTGAGGACGATGTCGCCATCGAATCGGGTCCTTGCTCGCCATCTACCGCCTCTTCATCCTCCGCGGCGGACGCGACAGCGGCGGCAGCGGTGCGGGTGCAAGTGGTGAGGGCGCTCGTCTACGTAGATCACGATGCCGACGGCGCGGGTAGGCCTGCGGCCGGGTTCGTGGGGTGGATGAACCGCGGTATCCGGGAGGCGGTCAGGGATTGGGGCATGCCCGGGTGGTACGTTGACGGCGTGCTGCGGAGATATGTGCCCGAGGAAGGTGACGAGGATGAGGGTGTAGGGATGGAGACATGACACTTCTCCCCTTACATTTCTCGCCCTTTCTCCCACCCGAGAGATGACGACTTTGGAGTTTAGTGGTGGAGAAACCTCGTGGAGCTTTGGCGTTGGCTGTTGCTTTCTCCCGTGTCTTTTTCTTCTCTTCTTTTCTTTCCTTTTTGGCTACCCGCTTTCCGCTTTCTTTGTCGAACCCTTTTTTTCTTTATTTTTTTCTTCTCTTCCCTACGTTTTTTTTCCCTTTGTATCCTACGCCCTGATGGCTCATGATTCCCACCTTCAACCTTGGATGGTGGTGGAGGATGGACGATTCGAGTGGGCAATTGTTTTTGCCGTTTTGGCGACGCGGCCACTTACACCGCGCGCCAGCAACATGAACAGGGCGAGATTCAACTCCCGCCCTCTGTTCTTTTGTTGCCTTTCCCCCTCCCGACCTTTGTTCCCGCCTGAAGGAATCTTCTTGAAAAACAGTCCAGAAAAAAAAAAAAAGACCTCAACCCTTTCTTTCTTGACTTTTCTTTAAATAATATACAATAGGGACTCCTCGGTTCTTTTTCTCTTGTCTTTATCTCTCTGTCTCTATTATGTGTATGCACAAGTAATAGCTCCATCGCTGTTTCTGGTTGGGCGAGGCTAGGGTCGTGCAGGGGCCCTCCGAACGCAACCTCCGTTCGCTGCTTCCGGCTGGGAGACGGCGTAGCGCCCCGAGTCGGGTCCTATCACTCGCGCTTATTTGTGAGGGGGAAAAACGAAAAGAAGAACGGACCACCCTCGGCGTCTGACTGGAAGGTGGAGTGGACAGGCGTCCTAGCAGTGGAAGCAGGTTTTGTTTCTTTTCACCTTGCTTTCACCATTGTGATTCCCCTCGCACTCAGCAGCAATCTTCGTAAGTCATGCTCTCTTCCATGGATGTTCCTCAAGCGATGAAAGCATCAATATGGCACCACTAAATTGTGCTCTCTTCCACAACTCGTCCCGCAATGCAAAGAAAAAAAGGGAAGCGAAATTAGCATCAATGTGGTTTATTCTATCATGCCTTTTCTCCTATTTCTACCGTCTAGATCATCTAGGGCAAAAATAAAATGGAGAGAAGGGAAAATCTATAGAGACCCGATCGACGGGGCGTTCTATGTTCGTGGGGAGGGAGATCCAATCAGGTGTCCACCTCTTTCCCATTTATTCGTTCATACATGCTCGGGATGCTCACCCGTATTATCATTCGTGCCGTTCAAACGGTAGTGTATCCCAATACCCTCTCGAGAGCATCAAAAAAAAAAAAAAACAAATCATAACAAGCCAGAGGATGGCTGGGAATCATCTCTCTAAACGCCACCGCAATGCCTACCTCCTAGGGAAGAGGTCCCAGGGAGGACAAAAAGCAAAAAAAAAAAAAAAGAAAGCCCAAGCGAAAGGAAGAAAGAAAAAGACAACGCCATGTGTGTTATGAACATCGGAGACGGTGAAGAAAGCCAGGAGGACCGGAGGAAGGGCAAGAGGGGACAAAAAGCCCCACCTCTGCGAGTCATGTCCGCCAAGCCCCCTTCCCCGGTTGTCTCACCATCCCCCAACTTCGCCCTCCACCAATGATCAGAGAGCCGCCGCCGCCGCCGCAACCAGCGCAAGCACCGCGGCCATCGTCGTCGACGCACCGCCAAGGTTCCGCACCGGCGCAGCACTCCCCAAGAAGCCCTCAGTCGTAGCGGCATCGTCCTCGGTGGGGTCGGCGACATTGAGCCCCTGCTTGGCCGCGACGGGATTGTCGACCCGCATGGCACCGGGGATCGCGTCGGCGCCGTCGCCAATCTCCACGATATCGGACTCGAGGTCGGCGACGTTGCCGTCGGCGACGGCGGACTGGGCCATGGAGATTTCGTTGTTGGCGAGGTCGAAGACGATGTAGGCGGAGCGCATAAAGGTGTCGCCGAGGACGCTGGTGCGGCGCACGGCGGGGGCGATGCCGACGAGGCAGGCGTCGACGCCGTCACCGAAATCGGGGACGTCGCCGAGGGAGCTGGTGGCGAGGTCGAGGATGAGCTCGCGGGAGGGGACGACGATGGAGAGGGGGTCGTCGAAGAAGAAGGTGAGGTTGCGGTCCGGGCGGTCCGGGTCGGTGCAGGGGACGAAGGCGAGGCCGAGGTCGTCGACGTAGGTGGCGCCGAGGGCGGCGTAGATGGGCTGGCAGACGGCCTCGGGGAGGTAGGAGAGGGTGGAGCCGGAGTCGAGGAGGACGGCGAGGGCCATGTCGTCGGCGACGAGGTCGTCATCGCCGTCGTCGTCGAGAGCGAGGCGGTCGAGGGTGACGAGCAGGCGGCGGTAGCGGTCGTTTTCGGGCTGGATGGGGACGGTGACGAGGGGCCCGGTGTAGCGGGCGCGGTCGAGGCCGCCAAAGAGGACGGTGCCGCCGTGGGCCTCGAAGGCGTTGAGGTACATGCTGAAGACGGGGACTGGATGACGCCCTGGGAGGTGAGGCGGGCGGGCAGGTTCTCGTAGGGCTCCTCGTCGTAGACGATGACGTTGGCCTGGTTCTGGGGGTAGCCGATGCCGAGGACGCCGTGGGCGGAGCTGGAGCGCAGGGCGACGCCGAACTGGAAGTCGGCGACGTCGGCGTCGCCGAGGGCGAGGGTGTCGGTGACGAAGTCGCCCGAGGCTTCGGTGCCGTCGGCGTAGGTGATGTCGAAGGGTTGGTCCTCGACGGGGGCGTGCGTGGAGGAGCGGGAGGCGTTGTAGGTGCCGGCGCGGAGGCAGGGGCGGCGGGCGGCGCCGCAGTACTCGGACTCGAGGGTGTTGACCCACATGTCGCTGCTGCCGGTGTCGACGTGTAGGCGGATTTGTTGCGGGGGTGCCGACGGTGATGTTGACGAAGTAGAAGGTGATCTGTTGGCGAGAGAGAGAGAGATGGCAGTGTTAGCCTTGAAATAGCAAATCCTCGTGAAGGGAGGGGGTTAAAAGGGAGAGACGCACCATGTTGTCAATGGTTGTTTGGAGGATGTTCCTCTTGGTGAAGCGGAGGTGGCTCGCTATGGGGTCTATTTCGTCCCGCCACATGTTGAGGCTTACGACGTTTTGGGATGCGGCTTTGGGCTTGAGTATGCTGGAGGGTTCATCGCGAAGCGACGGTGTGAGTCTTGTGTCGAGGGCATCTCCGGACCGTGGGGAATTCGCTTGGACTCCAGCGATGCTGCGACCGAGCAGGGAGGCGGCTATGGAGCTGAGCTTCATGTTCGCGGGTGTTTTGGTGAAGGAAGTTGGGTGGTGAGGCAGGGCTCAAGGAATGAGAGAAGAATTTCGAAAGTGTGGAGAGAGAAGCAAGTGAATCGGATATCGGGGGAGTGATGGAAGCAAAGTGGCGGACTCGTTTGTACCACTTCAGGGCAGCGGCGCTCCTTCTCAAACTGCGTTGCGGTGAGGTCGGAAATATCCTATTGTGTCGTTGGGTGTGTTAATCCTCCCCAAGAAGAGCCAACCCTGGCTTTCTCTTCAAACTTCAAGGTGATCCCGGGAACTGAGTCGATCGTGTGGTTGTTGGAGGACGGAGCACCGGGCTTGAAAAAGGTTAATATGTGTATGCTCATATAAGTGTATGTCGAACCAAAGGAGATTGGTTTCAAGAAGACTTAAAGGGGATGCCGTTTTCCTTTTCCCTCTTTTCGTCTCTCCTCTGCCCAGTCGATTTCTTTTTGTTTTCTTTTCTTTTTCGTCCAAACTTTTTCTTTTACTCTTCGAAAGTCCGGCATTGATGCTCCCCTTGTTCGGCAGGTTTTCGACGTCGCAGGTCGCGGGAGCAGGGAGAATCAGTTGCAAAAAGGCAAAAGAGCCGGGGTTTCAGATGTCACGGAGCCAGGTTTCGGTGACGACGCCAGCCCGCGTTGCGAGAGAGCTTGACACCGGATTTTTATTTTCGATCTTGGTGCAACCGTCTCAGGCGAAAAGAATCGAGTTTCCGGAAGAGTTTTTCTGTGTGGAAGAGAGGAAATTGAGGAACGGACTTATTAGGGGCTCTGCTTTGTGGGGTTTAGAGTGAAGTTGAGGACGGTTGGGGGTGAGAAGCGGTCCTTTCGTTCGGACAACTCGGCAAGACACGAGACGCACGATTTCGGGGACCCCGGTTGGATGTCCACCACGCACTAACAGCGAAAAAGGGCGGCAAGGGAGGAAAGTGAGAGACAAGGGCACGGAGTAGTAGGAACGGGTCCGAAGAAAGAGATAGAGAAAGGGGATTGAAGAGACGAACAGAATGCTAGACTTCGATGCGATGCATAGGTGGGGGACTTGAGGATTATAATAATGCACGATCTTTGAGAACATAGAAGAGCATTCGAGGTACGCAAGAAATGCAGGGCTTAGTTCATTATGCTATATTAAACAAGAAACAAGAACAAGGCCATGCATGGCCAAGAAAAAAAAAGAAAGGAAGAAATGATGATGAAGAAACCGCTGGCCAGGTCCCACCTCCTTGGCCTGGTCCTCTTTTCTTTTCCCACGATGACGCCGCATCCAAGCTAAAGGGTAAAGGGGGCGTGGAAGCTGGTCAGGGATTGGCATCAATTGGGATTGGGACTGGGACTGGGACTGGGACTGGGACTGGGACTGGGACTGTGGGGAGTGCGGTGGGTGGAGACCTTTCCCGGAATCGGGAAAGCGGGAAGGAACACACACACACCAGAGGCGAGAGAGAGGGAGAGAGAGGCTGGAAGCTTGGGTGGGTTTGGTTGAGTAGGGTAGTTGAGGTCATACATCTTCTGCGTCTCGCTTGTGCGTGTGTGCGTGTGTGCGTGTGTGCGTGTGCTTGTGGCAGCGGGAACAAATCGGCTGTCTTGCATCCACGCCATCCACGCCATCCGCCATCCGCCATCCGAGGCCCCCAGTCCAGCTTCCTCTCAAGACCAATCCATGTACGCTAATAGAAGACGGCCAGCTCATAGCCAGCGACAAGTACGAGTGTGCAGTGTTAGGTCAGCCAAAAGAGAAAGCCTGCGGGCTTTGCGTGCTCTGAATTGAACAGAGAGATGAAGGAAGGGGGCCGGGGTGCCATTGACCAAAGTTAGCGCTGGGCGATGTGGGGAGATTTCTCGCCATCCCAGCTGATGCAGGTACGAGGGTGCGTACGAGTCGTGTCCCTCGCCAGTGGAAGGAGAGGGATAGGCCAGTGCTATAGCACAGCGGCCTTCTCTTTTGCTGCACACTCCTGCTTTCCAGCCCTCTGGCGCAGTTGGCCAGGCCAAGTGACCATCAATGAGAGCGTCTGAAGGTTGGATGGGGCGGGGAGAGGGGGAACAGGACAGGACAGGGAGTGTTGAGTTCAGGTGAGCTGGCAACACCCCGTCGTGGCGGCATGCGAACAGAGCGCCTGAAGCCAATGCAAAAAAATCACACTAAAGAAGCTCCTTGAGGGTTGACGCGCGCTGTTAGGGGGAAGGGGGAAGGGCACAACCAGACGAATCCGCCGTCGGAGCCGGGCCTCGGCTTGGCGCAGCCGCTATTCCTTCTTTTTCTCTCGTGCGCGGTGATAATACTGGTGTGTACTGTGACGGATGCAGCAGAGCAAGCCTTGAAGTTTGCTTGCGCTTGCACTAATACATACCCAGCTGTGCGCAAGTCCGCGAAGAGCATTGATGGCTGGGAAGGGACTGAAGGATCAATCTATTGACGGACCAGGGCCCGCGCAGGCCAGGCCCGGAGAACAGGGCTTTGCAGGTGGGTGGGAAGCTCGGGCAGCACAGCAGACACTGGAGGACATTAGATGTCGATTGGATTGGGCAGATGGGACCCATCTGGAATCATTACGTATCGATCTTCTTTCGTTCGGAGACTACGGGAACAGTCGTACGTAATCCCTAGAAGAGAAGCTCCATCTGGATGGATATCCTGTAATCTTGCAGCGTTGATCTTGCAACCTTTCCTCCTCGTCTGACCCAGCTATCAACGATGGAAAAGAGGGATCGTATCAGTCCCTTCGTTGAGGGCTCCATATGACTGGAACATCCGGATCTCTCTGGGGAAAAAAAAAAGGGATCCCTTGGGTTGTTTGAAAAGTGACCCGGATGACGAGGCTCGCACCAAGTTCGGGGTCTTCGTAAGAGGGGGGAAGACAGCCCATCTCACCCATCTCATCTTATCAACGCCTCCTGACACTTTACACCCTGGTCGTTGAGGGCGAGACCTGGCCCAAGGGGAGGACGATGCCAGGGTTGACGGAACGCCACCAACCGACGACTTGCTTCCTTTTTTCTCTTTTTTCTTCCTTTTCTTTTACGCTTTCTTCATCACCCTAATAGAAGTGGACCACTTCAGCAAAACCCCATCACGAAGAGTGGGCTTGCCCCCTTGTAATAATAGCACTTTGCCCTTCGCTTTTCGCTTTTCGCATGGCCTCGCCCCACCCCAGCCATCTCGGCTACGGCTACGCCAGCCCAGCCCAGCTCACGGCTGAGGCGTCCTGTGCCCACCTCGATTCTGCTCTTCGTCGTCCCATTTTTAATTCTCAAGTCACCTTTTAGCTTCGCCATGCATCGCCATGCATCACCTCGATCTTCGTATTGACTTGCGGCTTTCTGCATCCGTGAATTTGGGCTGGGTGTGGCCCAGCTCTTCTCCTACCTGGCTGGATCGAGGACGAGAAGGGGTAAACAACTTCTCTTTTGATTCCATAACAAACCTGTAATAATGAACATACAAGCTGAAGCCGGGCAAAGTCGAGGGAGAAAAACTGGGAAGCTGAGGTGGTGGCAGGTTGGGTTCTCGAGTGATGACGACAGCGTTGGCCATGATGGAGACCAGAGCTGGAAAACCTGCAAGATTTCTCAATTCGATGCAACCTTGACTGTCAACGAGCTCTCCCACACCATTCGCAGCCCCCAACCGCCGCTCAAGGAGGGTGGGAGAGAACATCAATTGGGAATCCGAGCCAAGCTAGTTTATTGATCCTTGCTGGTCTGGGCCCCTCTGTCCATCTGGAAGCAGCATGAAAGGATTGATGGGACGCATGCCTCGGGATCCAAGAACAAATAGTTTGACATCACCTCGTCTGCTAACAAAATGCCCCCTCGAGACGAACATCACACGTATTGACTCTCGCGCCAAACTAGCGACCGACAACCCCACCTCGCCCGTTCTTGTTCATCTCCGGCATGAATCGGAGGCTCCTCTCGTCTCCATAATATGACCCGCCATCAAAACAGACGACTTCGATATGCAGTTTGAACATGTGGAAGATCCTCAACATTGATTCAGAAAACTACTTCATGCTATGGAGATGGACCCCCGCTCGTTCATCGTAAAATAACGGCGGGTCAGGATTGAGCTGTTTTATCTCTTCATTTCTTGTTTTCAGCAATTCACCGAGTCCGCGGTCAAGATGGGCCGCGTTTCGGAGCTCGGTGGGGACGTATTCATGGGCAGCAAATGACACCAAAGAAAAAAAGAAATGGGGGCTTCCATCACCAGCCCAGCACAGCACAGCACTAGACCCTCCTGAAGAAGAAAAGTCTTTTTCGCTTCGACGGGGCTTGAGAGATTGGCTCCTTTCACTCGTCCGATCGATCCGTCAGTCAGGTGGATGACGGGGAGGATATTCATCAGTGCGGTGCAGGCGCCACAAAACGAGCTTCGGCCACATCCTGCCAGTGCCATGTCGGTGTGAGGCCGCGAATGGGTAGACGTGAGGCCAACGCAGAGATGATGGACGGATTCACGCGCGGGAAAAGGATGATAATACTCTCTTTCGTAGTAGCTCAAATTGCAAGGCGGGGGGAGGAGCGAGCCGAAGTGAAAGTAGGGTTTCCCTTTCGTGGCGCCCGCTAGTCCACCTTTGGTGCTAAGAGACGAGGCCCAGGATCGTGGGAGATGCGGGGGACGATGCGGAAAGCCCGCGCGGGCGACCCTGACAGCGAGCAGGTCCGGCGTTCAAAAGCCTTCCGTCCCTTTCGGTCGACGGAGAGACCCCGGAAAATGGGGCCCACGGGCGAGGGATATCCAAGGTGTAAGGTCTTCCGGGAGGAGCAGCCGGGGGCCCGGGAAGCCCTCGTCTCTGCTCCGGTTTGTGATGAACGGATTCGGAGAGGGCTCTGCGCTCAATCCCGGGCCGCTCACTCCTGCGCTGATGCGGCGTAGCCTTCCGCCCCAGCGCACCGGATCTTCGGAGGATGCGATGGCAGGGTGTCCATACAAATCACGGAGGCGGAAATAACGGCCGGCAAGGGGCAAAGCTCTCTCTCGCCGACCATGGAAATGCTCTAGGGATCAATCAACTATAGATCTGGATGCCCTGATTGTCTTTTGGCTCTTGCCCTATGGTAAAGTTTCCATCCAACACGGATGCGGCTATATGACCGTCCCCTCCCGAGATAAAGTCGACCTTTTCTATCTCACTTCATTTGACGGAGCAATTCAGTACAACCAGACTTGTCGGAAAACGTGAATTACATATTGTGATGTTCCGATTTACGCTGCAGAGCTTGTCCCCGTCCTCGCGAGGAGCACCTACCAACCCTTCGACCCTCACGCAGCTACGAGCAAGATGTGTCCATTCCTGAGAATGCAAGGGTTACTTTCTCCCCTTTCATTCTTTGGTTCGATACGAGGCTCACTCATGCCTATAGGTTTGATACCTCTGAACCCATTTTGTTTTCCGTGTCTGTTTGGCCCGCGCAGCCTTTGACGGGAAATCGCCGTTCTTCACGATATGTATCACGACTCGCCGTCGCCGGGCGAGACGCGCGCCTTAAAACCTACCACATTTCTCGTCACGGAGAAGAAAAGAAACCCCTCAATAGAAAAAGAAGAAAACCTCAAACTTTTGAGTTTTTCTCGCCAGCCACAAATTGATGTTTTTAGCCTGGGGAGAGGCCCTTTATTGTTCCCCTTTGAGGGTCAGAATGGCTGACCGTGTGTCGGACGGACATGTCGCCGGCCGTGCTACTACGCTCGGCCAATCACGGCCCACTTTATTCGTCTGCCTACACGCAGCAAAGCAGCACCCGCAAACCGGCCCCAGCATCGCCAGCAGCCACAAGTCGACGAGCTGCCCCCCTTTGAGGGTGCGGCGTTGCTTACTTTCCATGTCGCTGATACCTCCTCGCCTATTTCTATTTGGATGCCTGGGGACCTCTTTCAGCTTTGGGGCTACCTTAATTTGGGAGACACTGAGGGATGGAGGAGCGGTAAAACCAGGGGGAGGGAAACCGGAAGGGCAAGACGGACGATACATGCAATGCAGTGTTGTCACGGGAGTGGTAGATCCTGGTTGAGCAGCTGTTGACTTAAGCTTTTTAAACAATCTTGAAGCTGGAGGTTTTCCTTGTTTGCTCTTCTTCTACCCCCGAAACAATCTCGATAGCTGACTGAATCTTTCTCTCCTTTCTTCTCCTTCTCATATCAAACGTGCGGGTTAGCCTTCTCTCGTGCCCTATTGCCGTGTGGCCTTGTTCTCCTCTCGAACACTCTCATATCAACCCGGCTGCCCGCCGCCCACTCATCACGATGGAGTACAACCCAGATAGATGGCAAGTCTTCTCCAGCCTAGCCAACGCGCCCTTCTCCCCAGGGGCATCTCTTTTTCTTTTCCCCCTCGAGAAAGCAGAACTCAGGACTAACACAATGACACCTCACACAGCCCAGTCTACGCCGTACGAAACCACCCCGTTCCTACTAGACCCCCCCATCCCTTCCCCAATGCCTCATAGCCACGACCACGACGTGCGTAAAAAGAGGATATTAGAAAGAAAAGAAAAAGCCAGCTCCCCTAAAAGCTCCACTCCGCTAACACCTTCCTCAACAGTCCTTCTTCGGCGCCCTAGGCTGCACCTTTTCCATCGTCCTCACCGTCCTCGGCGCCGCCTACGGCACCGCCCGCTCCGCCCCCGCCATCTTCGCCTCCGGCATCACCCGCCCCGATCGCATGATGCAAAACACCCTGTGCGCCGTCATGGCCCAGATCCTCGCCATCTACGGCGTCGTCTCCTCCGTCATCATCTCCGGCGATATCCGCGAGCGCATGGCCCTGCACACCGCGTTCCTGCAGATGGGCGCCGGTTTGTCCGTTGGTTTGTGCGGCTTGGCTGCTGGGTTTGCTATTGGCGTCGTGGGCGACGCGGGTGGTGAGTCTTCCTTCTTTCCCCTTTCGAGACTTGGTTTCTTTTACGAAAGGGACCGAACGGCTGGTTTTCGAACGCAAGGTGTGGGGGATATGAACAAACTTGCTAACAAAGAGGATTATACAGTTCGAGCGAGCACCCAGCAGCCCCGACTCTACTTTGGAATGGTCCTCATCCTCATCTTCGCCGAGGTTCTTGCGCTTTACGGACTCATTGTCACGATTCTCATGCTTTCTAGCTCCACCCTGAACGTCACGCAGTGCAAATACTAAATCGAGCCGGGACTCGACCCTCGGCCTTCACCGTTCTCCATCGTTTTGTTGTCATCTTCTTATGGGGACGCAAGGGCGGGTTAATGGAGGGCGAGAGAGCGCGTGTGGGAAGAGGGGGATGGACTAAGATAGTATACAAGTCACGGCGTCGAAGAGGGGAGTTGTAACAATACGCTTCAGCAGTAGTTTCAAGGAATCATATGTATGCATTTACACCGCTAGCTTGGACAATAATCAAAGCGAATAGAAAGAATACCAAAAAAGGCAGGAATATACATTAAAACATGCGATTCAACAAGTCAGAGGTATATATATGATGCTCGCACCCGAACAACGGAACCAAACTCTTTCGTCTCTCCTCTCCCTCCCCATCCACCTCATCATTACAAGGCCCATTCCGTCAAATCATCGTCCTTGCCGATAAACGGCTCGTCTATCCTCTTAATCGCGTGGTCGCTGCAAAGAATGCTGTAATTCAGAGGTGCGGTTAGTAAAGCAAACATAAGAATGGCCTGAGAGAGGCTCGTAGGACTGTCCCTCGATGTTAAGGAGGAGGACGCAGCAAATGAACTAAACTTACCACGCAGACGCCACCAGCGCATCCAACTCCGCAATCATCGTATCCCTCTTCTCCCCGCTCACCAGCCCCTTGCTAATCTTGACCTGCAGCTCGCGGATCCGCCGGCCCTTGGCCTGCCCCTGCTGCTCCAGCACTTTACGCCCCAGGCAGTCCGAGTGGAAACTGTGCTGGCAAGGGAACACGAAGAACTGCCGACTCAGCAGCGGGAGCCCGCACTCGTAGCAGCGCTCCCGGGTTCCACCACGGCGTAGCGGTGGTCCAGCGCCGCGATGTCGAGCTTGATGTGCGCCGCCGTCTGCGACGACTCGTCCATCTCGCGCCGGAGCCCGTCGATGCTGCGCCCGTAGTCCTCGAGCGCCGCGCAAATCTCCTCCTTGAAGTCGTCGATGACGACAAAGTCGGGGAAAAAGGGAATCAGGTCCTCGATGCGCAAGAGGTCGCACCGCTTCAAGAAGTCAATGGCCGACTTGATGCTGTCCGACTGCGTCACCACCTTGCGCGCCACCGCTAGCCAGAGCCGCTTGCGCAAGCCCGGGTTCGACTGCGGCCGGTCCGCGATGATGGCCGCGAGCTCCACCTCGTTGTGCGAGAGCGCGAGGTCCACCGCCTGCAGGTACTGGCCCATGCTCGTGTAGATGTGCACGCACGACAACGTCCGGTGGTGCTCGATGCACAGCCGCAGCGCAAAGTCGGGGTCGAAGCTGGGCTCCTCCCCTGGGATTCGAGGTATGACATGAGCCCGGACTCGTCCTTGGACTTGTGCGACGCGTAAATGGATACTAGCGTGTTGTGCACCGCCGAGTCCTTGGATTTGAGCTGGATCACCACGTACTGGAGGTAGCGCACCGCCTGGTTCTGCGCGAGCGAGCCCGAGAACTGCCGGTTGTAGCCCAGCAGCGCGGGGATGAGGTTCCGCGGCCGCAGATCCGCGTGCCGCATCAGTATCTCCACCAACTCCGTAGCCGTGTGGAGCATCAACACGGTGCTGTACCGGTAGAATATGGTGGGGTCCTTTTGCTTCTTGAGCACGTTGAGCGCCTCCGCCCACCTCTCCCGCTGCACCCAGTATGACAGCACGTAGTTGTAGTCGTTAATGGCGTTGGCAAAGTAGAGCAGCTCCGCCTCCCTGCCGTGGCTGCCCGCGATGTCGTACACCGTCTTGCGGTCTAGGTCGTCCTTGTATCGATTGACAAACTCTTGGTACTCGTTGCGTACCGCCTTTAGCAGCTCCCGGGACTGGGCCGGGTTGAGATCTTCCGCGAGCTCCGCCTGCGTCATGATGGTGTCGTCCAGAGAGTTGAGCTTGGCCATGAACACCTCCACGAGCCAGCTCGCAATCATCATCCTCTGCATCACCGCCGTCCGCTTGGACAGCGCTAGCTTCGTCAACAGGTACTTCCTGAGCGCGTCGGGCTGGTCGCTATCGATGAGGGAGAGCGCGACGTGCTCAAACGGCTTGTTGCTGCGTCCGTACATGGCCGCGGCCTCGTTATAGAGCCCCTTCTCGGCAAGGTGGTCCGCGTAGGCCGAGGCCACCGTCTCCCTCTGCGTCTGCGTGCGCGCGTACTGCATCGCCGTGTCGAACTGCTTCATCCCTAGCATAACGTGCCAGATCGAGCGGTCCTCATCCCGAACCACAATCTCGAAAATCTCATCCGAGGCAAACAGCCAAAATGTATTCTTTTGCAGATCCACGGAAAACCCAACCGCCTTTTGGCCGTCGTTGAGCACGAGCTGGTCGTACACCACTTCCCCGTCAGCCGGTTAGCCGCCACGACCCGACGCCCCACCAGGGCGACGATGTGCCACTGCGTCAGGGCAATGGCCTCCACGAGCTCGGCCGAGGCCTTCCTCTTCCCCGACACCTCGGAAGCCGTAAACTGACTTCGGGAGAGCATCTTGGAATCCGCAAACACCTTGGTCCCAAGCGTCTCGTCCGTCGGCGTGGTGAGAAGTTTCCCATGGTAAACGCCGTGCGAAGAAAGCCAGGCAAACGCCCGCTCGCGGGTATCTTCCCTAAAGCCTTCCTCCTCGGGCAGATCAGGCGAGACCACCAGCGCCGAGGCCGCCGCCGCCGCCGTCCTCGAGCTCGTGGACCACGGGCTCCTGCGACTCGAAGAGGACCGAGTACACCGAGCCAGAACTATCGTGGGGCGAAACCTTGCCCGACAGGTGGAACAGCCTCTGAGGCGTGGCGACCATGACGCGCCTTACGTCGGACCGCCCCCTAGATTATCGGCCCAGAGGCCCGTGATGGGCTCGTCGGGGAGCTTGAGGAGGTTCTTGAAGTGCTTCACATCTCTCTTGTATATTTCGTGCGACGTCTCGATAAAGGTCTCGTAGATGTTGCCGTCCGAGGCGCCGAGGAGGATCTCGCGAGTCGACGCCGTGGGCAGCGCCGGATTCCAGGCCACGCTCTCAATCAAGACGCCCTTGAGCCTTCCCAAAGGCCGAGGCTGGTGCGATTGCGAGTGGAGGTAGTAGTTTTCACCCGACGAGGTGCAGACGAGCAGGTGGGACGCTGTGGGATCGAGGAACATGCGACGGATGGAGCCAATTTCGGAAGCTTTTCGAGGCAGATCGATATCTAGAGGTTTTGCAATATACATGTCAGCTTCATCATGCTCAAATCATCTGCCTATTCGGCATGAGTGCCTACGCTCGAACTAGGTAGGTGGAGTGATCGAGGAGCGAGTGCTTCTTCTTACCATCGATGTCCTCGGGTCTGTTGAGGTCGATCCTCAATATCCGGCCATTAGACAGCGCAATGACGAGCACGTTGTTCGCCACCTGCGCCGCGATAAAGTCAGCAGCGACGGAGAACTGGAGCTGGACCTGTTCCACCACGAACATGGGCAGCCCGCTGTCCCCGTTGCCGAGGTGGAGCTCATCCATGGCCCCCGTGGTCGCCACGAAGCCCCCGTCGTCAAGGCCGGTGAAAGCCATTCCCCTCCTTCCTCTCGTTTTTCTTTCTTTCTTTCTTTTGTGCCGCTCCCTTTCTTTCGTGCGTGCCCAATCTCTTCGGGTCCGGCTATCGCCCGCCTTGTTGATTCCGAGGTCTCTCAATGTCGACGCAGGCTCATCCGGTCATGGCGGGCGGGGAGGCAACGTGGTCGAGGGTGGTGCTGATGCAAAGCCGGAGGTTTATTTTCCGGAACCAGGGAGCCTAGCAACGTTCAAAAAGTTGGCGGAACGGAGCCCTCGTCGCTGGGTCGGGATGTGGTTGGGATCGCTGATTGAGACTGGTGCTTGCTGGTGGGGGCGGAGAGTCAAGGCACAAAAGAACTGGTCCTCGCTGCATTGGCTCAAGCTTCCAGCAAGTGACGCATGCACCCGCTGGGCAGGCACCCAAGCTCCGGACTTCAGCCTCGTAGCCACACCAATCAGCCACTTTGTGTTCCTGAGAAACTTCACATCAAGCTCAGATTGAACGGGGACGACTTGTATTAATTACAGAGCATAATATAATGGAGGAGCGCACAAGACGCAGTCTGCAATTTCATTTTAAAAAGTGTTTTTGTATTTTATTTTTCTTCGGCTTTCATTGTGCAAGAAATCCTCCGGTATATCTATGTACATGTACTCCTACCGGACGTCTGATGGACTGCCCTTGACTGCACCGACAGAATCCAGCATGCCCCAATATATAATAACCCCATCCAATGCCTCTTTGTTTGTTCGAATATCCTCACTGAAGCCATTCGGAGTCATCCGCCTTGACCCTGGAATCACATCTATGACCTCCTGCGCTTCAAGGTTGCCTCGAAAGCCAACGTGCCCATATGATAAAAATGAGAAAGATAGAAAGGAGAAGAAGAAGATGATGATGAATGTGATGCTCTGACGAAGAAGGAAATAAGGCGACGAGGACGTCGCAAAATGAAAAATAAAAATATGATGAAAAATGGAAGGGGCAATCGGTTGTTGCCTTGGAGAAAGTCATGGGAACAAGGGTATTGATGTCCAGAAATGAGGCCGTTAAGCTCTTGAGCCATAAAAGACATAATCTCAGAGAGAATTATCATGCTGCGATCAGAGGGGGAAAGGTGACGGAAGGAAAGAAAGAAGGAATCGCAAGGATTGAGGAGGTGAAGAGCGGTAGTGATATGCGAAAAGCATTGGTGTCACCACCAAGTAATGAACAGGACGCCGTCAATGTAAAGCATCTCATGAGGTAGTTGGTGTATGCGTCATCCCGAGATCAGAGAAGAAGAAAACGACTGCCAGAAAAAATGGGTGTACGGAGGCAAGACCGCCGTCGTTTAGGTTCTATCCCCTGCCAAGGAAATAGGGTAGTCGCTGGTGAAAAAGGAACAAATCGTCTCGAGGACTAGATCGTGGCCTTGGTGTGGTATATAAAGCAGTCAACCAGCTCTTCTCTGGCTATTGTGCTAGTCTTGTAGGCTCAGGCCCATCAATATCCATGACGTCCGATGCCGTAATCGTTGTCCGCCTTGCCATCGACTCATGTCCGTTACCAAGCGGGTGCGTATCGACGCCATTTTCCCCGATTCCGTTCTCTGAGTGCTGCGCAGGATTCGCCGTCTCGTTATGATCAATGATGGATTCGACAGGCGTCTTTTCCTCGGGTACCGATGTTTTCGTCGTGTCCCCGGTGAGGATGCTAAATTGCTCCGCCGAGGCATCACCACCTGCCTGCATGTAGATGTCATTCTGCAGGTACATGTCGCCCGCGTCCACCTCTAGATCCCAGCCGGGACCGACATCGGGCTTCCTTGCCGTGACGGTGCGTACCTTGATGGCTAGGCTCTCGGCTCGTTCGGGGTCTTTGGCGTACTTGGCAATGAGGTGTGCCGTCTCTTCGCAGCATTTCTTGGCGTATTCCGGGTCCCAGCCCATGTGCGTGGTCAAGGGGCGCAGGCAGGAGGCTTCGAGACCGTCGACGATGGTCATGAGCCAGATACGACCCGCTGAGCCGGTTGAGGCGGAGATGGGGATGGAGTGGTCTGTGATCCGCACGTCAACAAAGCCCGCCTCCAACAAATACTTGGTGTCGATATGGGCTATCCCTCGCGGTCGTCCGCACTTGATACCCGCGAGGTAAAAGTCCCGTACGAGGCTGTGGATACTCGCGTCAGCGGGAAATCGGAGATGAAGTTTTTCCAGCTGTCTTCATCGTTGAATTCTTGCATTTCGATCCAACCTCCCGGCCGAATACACTCAAAGGCCTGTTCGTAGATGAAGCGCCAGTCTCGAAACGCGCCCCCGAGGTGTCTCATGTGGACAAGGTCGATGGAGTCGGGCTGGCGCAGCCACGGTAGCTCGGCGTCCTCAATCTCGAAAAACACGTTGTAGGGAGGGCATGCGGATTGTATAGCGGAGATATCGGTGCCGATGACTTCGCAGGAGGAACTTTTCGCCCATATGTGTGGCCCAGTCGCCCGTGCCCGTGCCAATGTCGAGGATGAGCTTGGGGTTCACGAGGGGGACCGTGCTCGGCTCGCCGTCCAACATGTGGAGCAGGACTTGGTGCGAGAGGTATAACCGGGTTTGCTCAATCTCATCATTGGGCATGTAGTAGGTGCCGCAGTATCGCCGGCCGTTCTCTTCATTGTAATCTAGATAGCGCTCGACTAGGGATCTTGTGGATGCAGCTCTGCAAAGAACAAAACGAGACATTAGACTGAAGACAGGAGAAGGAGGAGACATAATTAGGGGGTTCGGACGAGGAAACAACTCACAAGTCTATACTCTCTTCCTCCATGATGCTGTCCCCAATCACGGTAAATTTCGGCTTCACGCCCAGGTCGAGGCGTTTGGTGAATCTAGACGGCGCGTAGAGCGAGCCTCCATCCCGCCCATAATCAGGGGACCGAGATACGTCTCTCGACTGCGCGTTGAATTCGGAAGCACTGTCATCCTCGGCCTCGATCTCGATTTCAACCTCCACATTCCCATCCACATCCACGGGTCCTGCGGCCGTGGTGGGATGCAACTGTTCGTCGGCTGCCTGGGTCGCATCTACGGTCGTCATGGCGGATGATTTCGTCGGGACGCCGTTGTCGGTAGGCTCCAGGGCCGCCACGCACTCTCTTCCTGTTCGATGGCGGCGACCATGCCTGGGAACTGGCTGGGGTGAGCTCTCCTCACGCCCGTTCAATTCGGCGCGGCGCCGTTCGGATTGAGAGGATTTTTCGTGGCAAGAGCCAGCCGTCTCCTTCGGTTCTCTTGGTCGCCCGAGTTTCCTTTCTGTTTTGCAATCTCTACTTGGTTCCTATTATTGGAGATCTGGGGAGTTTATTCCTTGTCTGATTCATGTCAGATGGACAGCGCCTCAAATTAACCGGGCGGTTATGCTTTGCTGAGCTGCGAGCCTCATGCAGGGTCGATCGACGGGATGAAGCGTGTCAGGAAGGAGGGGACCCGTGAACAGGTTGCGAGACCCCTAGATCTTGCGTTCTTGGTGAGAGAAAAGTTCGGACGGTTGCGCGTAGGAGAGGGATGGGAAATGGGTGTTCGTCTGGGCACGTAATCTTGGGCGAGGTGCGGTGATCATGGAAGAGAAAGTGGGTGGTATGAAGGGAAGGGGAGAAAGAAGGGTTGGTGAGTTGACAGGTCAAGTTGTGGCGGCTTAGCAAGCCGTCTGGGGGTATTTTTTTCTTTCTTTTTCTTTTCCTTCTTGGAGACTGGGGAATCTTCAAACGGGCAAGAATTCCATGAAGAACCAAACACAACTTGTGTGGAGAGGGGGACGCTGCCAGCGAGGCAAAGCGGAAGGGGAGACGTCTCGAGGAATGCGGACAGGGCCAGGACGAAATGACAAGAGCTGGCTCGTGCACGATGTTAAAGATGTTGGGGCAGGGGCGGCGCCTCGACCACCACTAGTCTAGGCAAGGACCAGGGCCTTTTAGCGGGCGGGGCGGGGCTAGGGTGAATCCAGAACATCGACCGCGCCCTTGAGGCAAGGAAGAACGGGAGCGCGAGAAGGGGAACAGGACACAGAGGAAGGAGTCAAAGGAAGAGAAAAGAAAAAGGAAGAGGAGTAGGAGGGCGTGCAAAGGAAAAATCCCATCCCAAGTAGTGTACACTCCTGCAGCAGACTCTTGACGCGTGCGGATCATGGGGTAATCACTTCACAAGACAAATAGGAGACGTGGAAACAGAGTCCAATCGTGGCCCAATTCGCCGGACCGGGTTGACGAGGAACGATTCCGATGGTTCTAACTCGTAGGCAGGCGCTGCAGTCAGTGTCCCGACCCCGAGTCTTGGATTGGCCGAGAGTACGCTATGGATGCGACCTCATGCAGGAGAGGGAACGGGGAGTCGGGGTCCCCCTCGTGGCCGCTCATACACGCGAGAAGCCTGCCTGCTGTCAAGCAGCGCGATACAACGTCTTTTTGAAAATGCTAGACCGATCACATAGCTTCCATGATCGGCGAAGGATGAACCTGACCCTCAAAGGCTTGAGGGAGAACTGACAGCCTCTTCCCATCCATGTCGATGCAAGCCCAGAAATACTTGGCGGGGACCCTGAGGAATTGGGTGGTGAGTGGAGGGTACTTCGTACTTGGACGGGATGTTCAGAACGTGTGGCTGCCTTTCCCTCCCCCTCCTCCTCATCTCACCTCACGAGACCCAGTACTCATGTCCAGTACCCCCAATCACCGTTGAATAGGCGAGAATTTATACTCTTCGATCCTACCGCGGTTCGGCAGCCGGCGCGTTGTCGCAAAAGCGAACGTCGATAGTGCTTTGCTCCACCGAACCAAGAATCGAGAACCCGTGGGCTTCCCACGGAGCATCGATTAAATCAAATACAAAAAACGAGGTAAGAGAAGAGCCGAGGGGATGGGAGTCGGGCACTGCGCTAGTCAACGGTCGGCCGAACCAACCAAGAAATGGCAGCATGAAGACGAAGAGTCAATTGGCAAACGTTTGGCCTATTCCCGTCCTTTGCGGGAAGCGCAGATGCAAGATGGGCGTGCGGCTTGCGCCAGCCTCTTTGTACGGGGTTCGAGGGGACCGTCCCCCTTGTGTGGACGAACGCTGAAGCCGCGGAAGACGGATCCAGTCCTTCAATATTATTCTTTTATTTTATTTTTCTCTTGTTTTGAGGCCGGCAGCGTGTCCAAAGACCGGCTGAGAGCAGGAACAGTCAAGGCAATGAAAAACACAGAGACCCATGTTGTATTGGCTTCCAGGAGCGCACCGCCGGGAGGACATCCTCGTCGGCCGATGCATAATAAAAGCGGATTATATCCCTCCCAAAGGGTAAAAACCCTGACCCGACGCTGAAGCTTTGGGCGCCTTCATGCATCTCTTGACAGCGGGCGAGTGTTCAACGCGACGTTTCTGGGAGAGATGGGATTGACGGTTACTACTTTCCAGGTATTGCGAGGAAGTGACAGAATAGATAGGGTCTTGCATGGGATATGATGTTAATCATTTGGTAGACTAGTGCCACATATACAAAGAGCGAGCGGCCCTCCTCTTCGCCAACTCTCTTCTTTCGCGACTTTTGACTGTAATACCCTTCCACGCTCGACTCCCAGCACAATGTACTTGAGCCCTCAACAAGCGTCGTAATATTAATTCCACAAGGGAATAATAATGAAGCACTGGCCAGCCAGAATTGTGCTCCGCTTTCCGCATCAAGACGCTGGCGCGGGCCGCACAAAAGGCCTGGGCTCGCACCAAGTGCCTCCACCGGGTGTGCGATCCGAGAGCCTCCCATTGGAAGACCCTCGTCCTTCAAGGTCGCCCTAGCCAGAATATTGGCCGGAATGTAACGCTTCCCCCTACCTACCTTGCTCACATCTTTTTCTTTTGCGCCAGGCGCAGAGGGAAAACGCTCAGGATGCTGCTCCTTTTTGGACGTTTGGTTTGGACGGGGGCGGATATTCCACTTCTGCCTTCCCCCTTCCCTTCTTCACCTCAACTTTTGCTCCTTGTGCCAGCGCTGTGACTCTGACCAAGTCCCTTGTCATCCGACCTTTGTAAGAAAACCGTTGTAAACGCCGATGGGGAAGGGGAGGCCTTGCCCCGTAGCTTTAGCGAGAGGACGCGAGTCGGGAATAACAGTTCCCCCTAGTCTAGTCTAGTCCTTTGCCCTCTCTTTGCCGGCCAAACTTCTTCGAATGGGGCGATGGCCGCTTTTCGTCAATTAAAGAGAGAGAGAGAGAGAGAGAGAGAGACGTTTTAGACAAAGTGAAGAGCCGGTCTCACGCGAATAGAGCCACAATGGGAACTCGCGCTGTCGATCCCTTCCTCATCCTTCTTTTACGCCGCTTCCTTTTCTTGCTCTCCCCTTCCCCTTGCCCTCTTTGCCCCTTTTCCCCTCCTTCTTTGGCCGGTATCCCGCCAGAACGGTTCGTGACTCCATTCGCTCCGAGTTGATGACTGCAGATCCCCCATCGGGCGGTGTGCACGACAGCATTTCCTTCTTGACGTTGACCTGCGTCAGTTGCGACCTTGCCGAGTCGGCATCCAGGGGGAGGGGGACGAGATGTCGTTCACAGGCCCCGAAAGGGGAGACCTTGACAGGAAGGCAAGTCTTCTCGAACGTGCCTTGGCAACGACCATCACCTTTGACTCGTCATCGAGAACGGAATGCGCCTCGTGTCAGCCTGCTTTCTTATCAACTCGACACGGGGCTGTCCCCGCTACGGAACCCCTTCCCGCCCCATCTAAACAACGTGTCCACGCTAAAATCTGCCTGCCTCGTATGTTTTGTGGAGGTAAAACCCTTTTGCTAGCCGTTGTCGACATGCAAGACACTTCTTTGGGGATATCAAAGGTGGTCTCCGGCTCCCCTTTCACCTTTACCATTCTTGCCTTTGCACGCTTGAAGAAACCAAAGGTCCAATAGCGGACACTATTTACCGGGTTTCGAAAGCACGAGGAAATTCCCGCCGCCGTTGCCGCTCCCGCTCCCAAGCCAGAGTTCGTTTCAACCAAAATCCCCGTCATATAGAACGGGTGCCCCGAGACCCTCGAGCCGAACCTGCTTGCATGCTCGGAATGTTTTTCGTCCTCAAAGTCTAGACATTCGGTCACTCTACCAAGCCTCAAGCAGGGGGGTTTTTTTTGGGGGGGGGGCTTGTGTTCTTCTGTTACGACTGATACTTGTAGATTCTGGTTTGGGCCTCTCAACCTCTTAACGTGCCAGATGTGAAGGGTAGAATACTACACATTCCACAGTAGCACGTGTCTCCATTGGCCTAATCACGCTCATACCGCCCACCAAGGGCTGCATTCCAAGCGTGGTAGTGATTTTAACTCGTGTGACAGATCGGTTGTAGCCCAGGTTCCCTGTGTCCTACTTTGATGCCATGAGACGAGACAGGCCTCAATTTTAGGGCGAGCCGCGTTTCGCTGGCAGTAGATGGGCATTCACGAATTGCACCAAGCAGTGGAATGTAGCTAGCAAGGATGCCTTGTTTGATCATCTATGGAGATGGATTCATCTCGTAGGTCGAACGCCACATTCGCATTCCTGTAGCGCCCAGCAGACTCTGAAATAGTATAAATTTCGTAGATGCTGAGGAGCAACCAAGACCTCAACCCGAACATGAAAACAAAGACTGCCCGCTCCTAGATCCATCCATCCCCTTCGCCACCCGCCAACCGCCCGCCCCTTTCAATAATAGCCCATTCCGAAACAAACTTCCGCTTTGTTTTTAACTTCCAGGGGCCGCGTCCATCTCGGCTACCCATCTATGACTCCTTTTGCTCAAACCTTTCTTTTTTTGCCGTCAAATGAATTACAAAAGTGTATACATGTATGCCAAGAAACCCCAGTCGTTTCTTTGTCGTGACCAAACCCAAAAGGTCGGGTATATAGAAGGAGGCAAAACTGGGAAAAAAGAAATTCGTTATAAGCGCCCCGAGATCTGATCCAAGCAGCCACATCTAAACCGCGTGAGCGCGCTTAGGCAGTGGCAACCGGCTCACCATCGATCTTGCGCTTCTTCAGGGCAGACGCATCGACTTGAGGGCTGTCGGTGATCATTTCATCGGTATCGGGGACGACGTTTACACCGTTGACCATAGGGAAGGGGGTAAGCACGTGGCTAATGTCACCCCACCACTTCTCGCCGAACCTCTTGTACCAGTCCACTGTGATGGCGAGACCCTCGGCAAAGCTCGTCTTTTGCTCCCAGCCAAGGTTTCGAAGCTTCGTCCCGTCGACAGCGTAGCGGTGGTCGTTGAAAGGACGGTCGTGCGTGTACTTGACCCACTTGCGGAACTCGTCCTCATTATCGTGGGGGATCTTCAACTCGGTCAACAGCTTGCCGCAGATGTCAATGTTGGCAATCTCGTCGTAAGAGCCAACGTTGTAGATGTGGCCCAGCTCGCCCTTGTGGAGAATGGTGTCAAACGCATCGGCAGCGTCACCAGCGAAGAGGTAACGTCGGGTGGGGCTTCCGTCTCCGTGAAGCACCAGAGGCTTGCCGCGGTTCAACAGGCAGGTAAACTTGGGGATGATCTCTGCGCAAATTTAGTTAGCATGGGCTTCAGTACAACATCTCCTCGCGCTGGCCCAGGCGACTCCGCTTGCGCGGCAAACGCCCAAGTGCGCCGAGGGGAAAAAGGACCCGCAAACTCACTCTCGGGGAACTGGTGGGGACCGTAGACGTTGTTACTGCGGACAATGATGACGGGGAGCTTGAAGCTCTTCTGGTACGAGTGCACCATCATCTCAGCAGCAGCCTTGGAAGCGGCGTAAGGGTTCGTAGGGGCGAGAATGCTGGACTCGAGCAAGTCATCGGCATCATCCATGACCTCGCCGTACACCTCGTCAGTGGAGACGTGGATGAAGCGCTTGATGGCGCACTTCTTCGCGCTCTCCAGCATCACGTGGGTGCCGTAGACGTTGGTGTAGGTGAAGCTGTACGAGTTGCCGAAGCTCAAGTCGACGTGAGACTGGGCGGCAAAGTGGAAGACGGTGTCAATGTTGTGGCGCTCCATGCAGCTGACCACCTCGGAGGGGTTGGTGATGTCTCCATGGTAGAAAGTGAAGTTGTGCTTATCGTTGAGCGCGCGCGTGTTGTTGAGAGACGAGCAGTAGTCAAGCTTGTCGAAGGACACAATGTTGTATGCATTGGGATATGTGAGAGTAAGGTGACGAACAAGCCAGCAAGCACTAACAGGGTCCGTGTCAGCGGCGCGTTGGCGTTTTCGTCCCAGACGACCTTTCAGGAGTGATCAAGCTCGGCTTGGGAATGGGTCATGAACGTACATAAAGCCGGCTCCGCCAGTAATCATAATGTTCTTGACATCAGGGAGAGGTTCGAACTGCGTGTTGCCTTTGAGGACAGGCGACTCCTTCCAAACGCCAAAGTCTTCGAAGAACCGGGCATGGCTGTTGGCTGTAAAAGGGATCCATGATTAGTATCCAAGACGTGCGATTTCGGGGCATTGAAAGGGGAGGGGAGAGGACTGCATACCACCGCCATTGGCGCCACTGCCGTTGCCATTAGATTGGGCCATTGTGAAGGTTGGGTATGCTCGAGGGTCGACGGCGCAAAGGGAGGTAAGGTGACTAGATCGAGGGAAACTCGAAATGGTATGCAAACTTGGCACAACAAGGCTAATTCAACTTGTCACCAGGAATCGTGCGATGCAGAATTGGTCCTGGGAGAGGATCGAAGAGAAAGAATGGAGAGTGAGGGGAAGAAAAAAGCTGGAGGGGAAAGGTCACAGCAGCGGTGTCGAAACGGGCCCAGGGTATGTGGGGCTATGATAGAAGGAGCACAGATCAGCGGTGCTTTGGAGGGTTGGGGGCTTCCGAAGCTCAATGAATCAGATCAAGGAAGATGCTTCTTTTTCCTTTCCTTTTTTCTTTTCTTTTCTTCTTTTTTTTTTTCTCTCTTCTCTAGCTTGGAGGTGGACGAAGGACAGGAGGGAGTGAAACAAAAGAAAGAAAGGGGAACACACAGCGGCCTAAGTTAGACAAGCTGGTTTGGCCCTGCCTCCTTGATCAAATCCAATATTTAATGCAAATGCCACTGCCTATCAGCTACCATCAAGGTCGAGGGGATGCTACGTGGGTGGGTGGGTGGCTGCTAACTTCCACCAAAGCTCGAGAGATCCATCTCTGGACTACACGGAGAAGTCCATTCCATGCGTTGCCCCCGCACCTTCTGTTTTGAAATGAAGCTCAGCATTATATTTGGCAGCTGAACAGCGGCCATGTCCATGGAGGGTGAGGTATCAAAAGCGGAAATGGCCCTAGCCAGGAGACAAGCGGCGGGCCAAAAGGGAAGGGGGCAAATGAAATGAAATCAAATGCAAGCTGTGAGATATGAAGTTGCGCGATCAACGGAATACGATCGACAACACCAACACTGGTGTACCATTGACATCGACACGCAGCACAAGCAAGCAACAACAACAGGGATCTAGGCCACGCCAGGTTCACTCCTTGAAGCTTGAAGCAACATCATCATCCGTTCCCTCCACTGGCGGTGTGTTGGAGCAGTGAGGAGAAAATGGACATCTGCACAGCGGGAACAGAGCTTGCTGAGCACCAAGGTCAAAGGTCAGCGGCGACAGGCAAGAAGGGCGACACTACCCTTGATCAGCAAACGCAACATTGGGCGAGCACTCGATCCATCTTGAGAGCCAATACGAACTATAGGCGGGGCTGTGCTAGCCTGGTCCAAAAGGGGCCCTTTTTATTTATTTTTTATTTTTTTTTTTTTTTTCACCTTTCTTCTCTTGTCTAGCCCCTGTTTTCCCAGCTTGATTTGCGTTTTCTTCAGGACAGGTCATCTTCCCTGTTTAGAGTTTGCGTGCTGCGGAACTCTGGCTTAGACACGAGAAGTGACAAGGAGGTACGAATGGAGACAACCCCGAATCTCTCAAACTCGTTCCAGCAAGATCTAGAGCAAAATCGATTGAAAGAAAGCCACCCAAATGGTATCGTGCGCGGAAGGGTCTCCGATCTGCAGGAACAAAAGTTAGACTCTGAGCAAACAGGAATAGTTCGTATCTGGATTCAGGAGAACACGCCGTCCGAAGTCTTTGGGCTGAACAAAAAGACGGAAAATTGTTTCCGAGCATGTGCCTCTTGCCCTATCCCGGTATTACGAAGCGCGTAACGAAAAGGGGGCCCTTGTCAATCGCAACATCACGAATAAGGTTCGTTTTCTCGACAGTGGGGGTTTGGGAGTCCAGCGCAATCCGAAAGGGGGACGGGCGACCTCACGCTACAAGTCCAGGAAGTTGGTTCCATTGAGCTCCTCCCCTTATCTTCAACCAACGGGTGGGCCAGGTGGGGAGATTCGAGCAATGGTTGAAACAGCCCTGTCGATGCTAATAATACACAACCTGTCCCGTCTCAAGATTGCCGGTCAACTCCCAAGTATGGAGCCGGCTGGCCAGGGCGAGGGTGCGGAGTATACTGAATATAGCACATTCCAACCCGAGAAATGTCCAAGGACCGAGTTGAGGTGGCTGTTGGTTGATTAGGACATAAAAGCGCCACTATTGCTTTTAACCCCTCTCACTCCCCTATTCCCAGCAACCTAGTTCAAAGTTCCATTGATTTTTCTTCTTCTCCCGCCCTCCCTTTCCCGAGCATTGACTTTGATCGCGCTGCGCTGATATCGCTGGCCCACCTTGTCTCCCCTGGCTAAGTTGTACTTGTACGAAGCATGAAAATTGTCCAATGAGGCGTCGAAAGGTACTTCGGGGTACCACAGTCCCGCTTCGCCCGATGATCACTACCAACTCGGAGAGGAAACTTGTGAAAAAGACTGTGAGATTTTTACATCGTCTTTTCACTCCTGAGACACGGGGCACGGCGAGAGGAGAAAGAAGTACTCATCTCGGTCGATATGTCTGACAACTTCAACTCCAGCAGAAAAAGAAAAGACCAAGAGCAGCAAGACGGAATGGGATACATCCTTTGCGAGTTTTACAGATGTGACGGATGTCAGACCTCGTGTTCAAGACCTGGAGGATTCCACGTTGGGTTGCTACTCCAAGCGATTGGCCGGCTGTGGCATCACACGAAGGAGCGCTAGCCGTACAGCGGTCCATGGGAAACTGTACTCGCTACTCGTGTCCGTGTCTGCGTCCGTGGCGTCATGGCTCTGTGTGCCCTGGAACGTCACAGGGCGGCGGGGAGTGAGCCCTTGAGTTTGGTTTCAGCAACGGAGCAGGGGACAAAATGAGTATGGGTCCAATGGCTGATGGGGCATATTGGTTCCTCGAATTGATGAAAAAGCTGTGTGGAGTACCCGCACCAGCGTGATCGAGGGCTTCTGGAACAGACTGACGCGCCATATCTGTACGAAGTACTATTACAGGCCCACATCTCTGAAGCTGACGAGGCACCGTTTCATGGCCACGCAATCAGAATGGTTGATCAAAAGATAACGAGGAAGGTGAGATGGAAAAATAAAGGAAGAAGAAGGAGGAAAGAGGAAGGGACAACAGAGGCGGAAAAGGGAAGGGAGAAGAAAAAGGAAATTGCGATCTTGCCTTGAACTTCCAGCCTCGGCGACGAGGATTCTTGTCTGAATTAATGCCTTACTCGTCGTCGTTGAAGCAAAAAGAGTACATGCCCTATTTACCTATTATAAGTACTTCGTACACTGGCGAGAGCCAGCTCAACGTTCACACCCCTTTTTTTTTCTTTTTTTTTCTTCTTTTTCTTTTCTTTTCTGTTCCATTTTTTTCTCGCGAGCACCTTGCGAGATCCATCCTTGCATGGAACTAGCGAAAGTTGGTTTGACAGCTTCCTATCGTGCGGCGGTAATGTTCCAGGAAGTCAAGCTTCCAATCACGGTGCCTCCAACGTTCAATAGGTTCCTTCCTAAACAATTAGTGTGGTGCGGTACACAGCACAGCCGCAGAGAAGAGAAGCAAACAACACCAATTGAACGTGAAAGGGGAAATAGGGGTCGGGGAGGGATCGACGACTGCCAAAGTGGCACCAACGAAGCAATCCCGAAAATTGAAGATTGGTCCCTCAACTATGCCCAAGTTGAGTCTGTGAGCCCATCGCTGAGCGAGGACTTGGAAAACAAGCCGTGCTTAGCCATCAGAAAATCAGAGTGTCGTTCAAAATCCTAGAATAAATCATAGATCCATGGATTTAATCAATCGATCACATTACTAGTTGTCTGGCGGTGTCTTAAACCCCCTTGAAATCGTCCCAGTCAAACTGGTCGGTCGCGGGCCATCTTACCGCACGCACACTGACAAAGTCAATGCTTCCAGCTCCAGTCCCATCCGCGTCAGGGGACCAGAGCCGTGCATGTACACTTGATGGTTGGGTGACGCGAAGGATCGCCCCTCTCCCGTCGCTGGAAGGAGCCTGGGAGATTGACGCCCACCCCCTTCCCCCACCCCCATGAAATTGACTTCGACGCACACATGCATGCCCTGAACGAACTAAAAGGTAACCTAGTCTAACTTTTTTCTCGTCACCTCCCAAATTAATCACCTTTGAACCCGATCATCACGCTCCCTTATTACTGTCGCCCAACTCGACAGAGAGGACTTCTCCCAAAGGAAATAGGCTGAGGTTTGGAACTCGACAACATCGCTCAAAAGAAGAGAGGAAGATAGAAGATTTGCTTTGGTGCATTTCACCCACCTCGGTCAAACCCCACTGCGACAGCACCAGTGCTCCTTCGCCGAAGAACAGGAACCTCGGAACAACGATGGCGGACGGATCCAAGTCGGCGGCTCGATCGCCCTCTCTTTCCTCGACGACGACGACCATGGGCGAACATGAGAAAGCCACGGAAATGACCGAGTTCGAAGATCACGGTGCGCCGAGAAAGCTGAGTGATCTCGAGGATGGTACGCGCGAGGAGGCCCAGAATCTGCTGCCCCAGGACAGCGAGCAAGAGAGGTCCTCGCCCCTTCGGCCAAGTCTGCCGCCAGGACTGCTTTCATGTGGATGGCGATCAACACCCTCGCGACCGTCGGCATCGTATGTCTCTCCCCGGTAGTGCTGGACTCAAGGAGGTCCCCGCCTCGTGTGTCGGCACATTGCTAACAGAGTTTCCAGGTGTTCACCAACAAGGCCATCTTCTCTGACCCGCAGTTCAAGCTTTGCCAGTTGAGCTTCGCGTCGTTCCATTTCGTGGTCACCTTTTTGACACTTTTCATGTTCTCGAGGCCGCCCTTCAACAAGTTTACCCCCGAAGGGTGCCCTTTACGACCATGCTCCCTCTTTGCATCACCATGTGCTTGAACGTCATCCTCCCCAATTTCTCGCTCGCTTTCTCATCGGTCACCTTTTATCAGCTCGCGCGAATTCTCCTCACCCCCGCGGTTGCGCTCATGAACTTCCTCATGTACCGTGCTACCCTCCCGCGAAAGGCCATCTTGACGCTGATTCCTGTGTGCCTCGGCGTCGGCATTGTCTCATACTACGACTCTCTCCCCGCTGACAATGCCAATGTGAAGACGACGTCGCCTATTGGTGTCTTTTTCGCCTTTTCCGGCGTCCTCGCGTCTTCGTTGTATACCGTTTGGATTGGCAGCTACCACCGCAAGCTCGAGATGAACAGCATGCAGCTGCTCTTCAACCAGGCCCCTGGAGCGCATTCCTCCTTCTCTATGTTATTCCCTTTGTCGACACCTTCCCCCAGATTTCTCACACCTCCTTGACCAGGTGGCTCATGATTCTAATGGTACGTGTTGGCCTTCCCCGCCGCCCCTTGCGAGCCACGCCGGAAAACATGATGTTGCGCAAAGGCACGTTCATTCTATTTTCGTTGTCAGCTAACCGCGTGGTGTTTAGTCTGGTGTTTTCGCCTCCCTCATCAACATTTCTCAATTCTTTATCATTGCACAGACCGGCGCTGTGTCGAGTACGGTAGTCGGCCACTTGAAGACGTGCACCATCGTGGCCTTGGGTTGGATCGTCTCTGGCCGCGCCATCGGCGACAAGTCGATCATTGGTGTTTTCATGGCCCTCGGTGGTATCACTATGTATGTATCCAATTCCTCCTTGACTTGGTCCCTTCCTTTAATGTCGCGTGATCGCTAACTTGACCATGCGCTAGGTACTACATGGTCATGACGAAGCACAACAAGGCCAAGGCTGGACAGGCCGTCAAATAGTCCCCTAGTCAAGCAAATAGGACCTGTTCTTCCTGCAATCGTCCGTGGCTACACGAGCTCGTTATCCCGCCGAACCGAATCGAAGACGAGCCCGAGACGGATCTTGATCGTGTATGATCTTTAATTTTTTTCTTATTGTTCAGATCCAGCAGTAGAAGGCTGTTGATCGCACCCTTGTTGAGGAGGGCTGTATACTTTTAAAGGCGTTCTCGGAGTACCCGGTAGACCATGGACAGTGGTTTGAAAAAATTTACTTGATTGATGAAAGCTATTTAAGGGGACATGGCTCCTTCGGTTACCGACCAGCCGGCCAACATAAAGTGAAGGCAGAGCTGCAGGACGCGCTATCTGGGATGTGACATTCGGGAAGGCCTTCGCTTAATCTAAATGCCCGCCCTACCAGCCAGGTTGGGGCTACATCTGGGAAGCAGTTGGCCGCCGTTGACCCGTCCATCGGGCCAAATGGCGGCCACTTTGCTCGCTTTCGTTCTCCTCACCTCAGCTGGCAGTAAAAGTTACCCAGAGTGTATTAAAAATTGAAGGTGAATAGGAGCAAAATGGAAAGTTGAATTGACACTAAAGACTCGGCAGCTCCCATGTGTGTGATAGATGGAGCAGAAACAATTACTGCTTGGTGCGTGAATTGAACCCCAACGAGCACACTAGCTAAACCGTTTTTTACCCATCATTACATGTATGTTTGCTTCCTCGTTCGTGGACTATCCATCCACCTTTGCCTTGCTTTCCCTCAGCCAGCATCGCCATGTTTTCACTGCATGGCGGCTCTTGTGAACAAGACATGGCGCACACATCACAGGATTTTGTCTTTGTCGTCGAGTGCTTTGTCGTCGAGTGTGATGGATCATGGAGGCCAATGCGAATTTCTTGGCTTTGGCCTGACATTGGCGAGGCACTAGTTTCCAATAGTTATATCTTCTTCCCTGTCGTTTCATCCACGATGGGGTTTTGCTTTCTTTTTCAATTTACTTTTTCCCCTTGCCCTTCGCTCCCCCGCGTCTGGGCCGTTTCTTTTCCTCTCCATTGCCCTTAATCCATTGTTGCACCTCTGAAGGGGAGACTGTTTTGGCTTGGTTTCTAAACAAGGGAATACTAGGCTGCCGAGGCTGATGATTTGTCTCAGGCGCGAGAACGTTAAGACCACTTCCCCTTTGCTTCCCGGCTCTCTTCTTGCTAGGAGAGGTGAATTGAGACTGAGACCCCCGGAAAGGCACGTCACCGTTTCGGTAAAATGCCCTACCACATTGTCTCACTACGGTCGTGTATCATGCTATGCCACTTTGCGATGAACAGATAGGTACGGAACGGCGAGCTCTCTGACAGACGGTAGCTATTCCTGTCTGAAGGAGTAAGTAGTAGTAGAGTGCACGCCTAAGGAGAGAAAAAGAAAAGAGAAGAAGGGGGAAGGGGAAGCGGAGTGCACCGTTACTGCAAGAGTGAGAACATTAGACAAAGATCTAAGAGGCGGATATTTAGTTCACTGTGCCGTAAAACCGGAAAGTTTAGGTGGATATTATGCTGCAATCGTGGATCAGGCACGGCGAAGGAAAGATCAATGTGGGTCGCACATGTCAAATGAAAGGATATATGATAATTCCAGAGACGACGATGAGTCCCAGTGCCAAGTCTACAAGTTGAAACGTTTCCTGTCCTTCTCCATCCCGGCCTTCCACGCCCATTGCACGGCGTCTTCGCCTTCGCTCCCAGCCCACCCAACACCCTTGTCGACCCTCCTGAGCTTCATGGCGAAACGGGGACCGAGTTCCTGCAAGCCCACGCGGATATTCTCGACGCCAGCCATGGGCTTGCCGTCCTCGTCGGCCACGGTGCGGTTCGACTCCTTGAAGACGTAGCGGTGGCGGCGGATAAAGATGAAGTCGCGCTGGTTGTGAAAGCAGACGACCTGACGGCCCTCGAACTCGGGGCGGATGGGGAAAAGGGTGGTGAGGACGCGGGCGGTGAGGATACCGAGGGGGTGGAGAAGCCGTTGAGGAGGAGCTCGGGCCAGTGCTCGGTGGGGTTGCCGTGGCCGGGGAGCTTCTTGCCGGGCATCCAGGAGCCCGGGGTGATGCTAAAGGTGAGGGTGGGGCCGGCGGGGAGGTGGACGATGGAGAGGCCCGAGGGGACCTTTTGGTCCTCGTGGAGGAGGACGACCGAGGTGTACTCGCGGTTGGCGGCGAACTTGGCAATGTCGCGGAGGGAGTACTTGTGGCCGTAGCGATGGGAGGAGCGGGGCACGTAGAGGCTGTTGGGGAAGAGGGTGCAGAGGAGCTCGGCTTCCTTGTGGAGGGTGCAGCGCAGGCCCGTGGTCACGAGGGTCTTGGGGACGAGGGGCGGGTCGTCAGTGAAGAGGGTGGGGAACTTGGTGACGAGGGAGGTGGGCGCGAGGTCGATGGCTGTGCTGGTCGTGGACGGGGTGACGGACGGCGCGACGCTGCTGTCTCGTTTCCGCTTCTTCTCTATCGCTTTCCGCCTCTCTTGCTCCTCGTCGCTGTCGTCCTCGAGCATGCTGTCGTAGCCTTCCTCTTCGCCGCCGTCCTCGCTCGCCTCTTCACCGTCCTTGCCGTCGTCGCGCATCTCCGCGTCGAGGGCCTCGATCTCGGCCGCGAGCCGTTTCCGGCGGAGCTGCTCTACGTTGACCTGCACGCCTAGGCTATCGTCGTCGACGTCGTCCCACACTCGCTTCTTATCTATGGTGAGTGGCTTGTTGTTCTCCAGCCTCTCGCGTCGGAGTTCCGGATCCTGCTTCTCCTCTCTCCGCCTCCGCATGCGGTCGTCTCGGCGCTCTTTGGATCTCTTCTTCTTTTGCTCGATGAACATGTCTTGGCGCTTTTGCTTGTTCCCCGTCTTGAGAGACAGGGAAGCGCTGGAGTGCTTGCCGAACCCCATCGTGGCGGCGGTGGGTGGGTGAGAGAAAGGTCGGGTATGGCAGGCGGGGTCGTCGGTGTTGTGGGGGTGATATTTTTTCAATATATGAGAAGTATTCTGATTCCCGATGATACCAAAGGCCTTAGGAAGACCTGGATAAAACTCCTTTCTATATCAAAGGGGACGAGATCGTTTGAGAGATTCGCAGCAGTTGAGGGTGCGCCGCAGAGGTAGACTGGCTGGTCTTGAACAAAAAATTTAGGCGGTGGCAGAAAAAAATCTTGGGTCGATAAGAGTATTTTTTTCCGTTTGGCGGGGAACATTTGGACGGAATGCTCAGAGTGCAAGTCCCAATAAATCTGAGGTTGTTTTGCAGCCACCCCTTCCGTGGCGTTAGCCACCATGAGCTTCTTGCTGGAAAAGGCCTTCATGGCCGTCGAAGTGTGGCTAATTCCACCACAAGAGTCACTGTGGCAACCCTGCTTCACCCTAGGCTCACGCCATACGTCCACAGAAGCCTTCAAAAGCCCCAGGGTTGCTGGAAACGGGCCAAGGGGCGGGAGTGTGCAATTGATTTTGACTCAGGTTTGAAGCAAAAAGTTGAATCGGGACACGACACAGATAATCCAAATTTTGCCAATTGGTCTCGTAAGAGTCATCGCATCTGCCCTTCCCTCCACCCCCAACCCGCTTCTGGCCCAGAATTCCGCCTGCCGCATCTCTCCTCCCCCTCTAGCGCCCCCAAAAGCCACCTTTTGGTTTCCTGCGGTTACCCCTCCCGCATCTAACCTTCCCTCGCCCCTCGTGTGCTCTCTCTCCCCTTCTTTTTACCGCCCTCCCCACTAAAAACTCCCCGTGAGTTGAATGCAGTCTCTCCGCACACTTTCACCTCGCACCCTCTTCTTCTCTTCTTCTTGCTGCAGGGACAGCAACTCCACCCGGCTTGCCAGGCTTCAACATCTTCGACCCCGCTACTTCAACACCGCGAATAACCCTACTTACTACGCCGCCAAGTTCAAGGCGCGCACCAACAACACCCAAGGCAAAATGGCTTCCACCGCAACTACTCTCAAGGGCCAGCCCCTCGACCGCGCCCTCCTCGACCAGACCCTCCGTCGCCGTCTATTCTACACCCCTTCCTTCGAGATCTACAATGGTGTTGCTGGTCTCTACGACTACGGTCCTCCCGGCTGCGCTCTGCAGGCCAACATCATCGATATCTGGCGCAAGCACTTCGTCATCGAGGAGGACATGCTCGAGGTGGACTGCACCGTGCTGACCCCCGACGAGGTCCTCAAGACTAGTGGCCACGTTGAAAAGTTTGCCGATTGGATGTGCAAGGATCCCAAGAACGGCGAAATCATGCGTGCCGACCACTTCGTCGAGGACATCCTCGAGGCGAGGCTAGCCGGTGACAAGCAGGCCCGCGGCCAAAGGTCGAGGAGGAGCCCGAGGCCGAGGGCGACAAGAAGAAGAAGAAGAAGTCCAAGGGCAAGGCTGAGGTCGTCAAGCTCGACGACGCCGTCGTCCAGCAGTACGAGGAGATTCTCGCCCAGATCGACAACTACAACGGCGAGCAGCTCGGCGAGCTCATCGTTAAGCACGACCTCAAGAACCCCGCCACCGGCGTCCAGCCCTCGCCTCCCATCCCCTTTAACCTCATGTTCCAAACCGCCATCGGCCCCAGCGGCAACCTCCAGGGCTACCTCCGACCCGAGACGGCCCAGGGCCAGTTCCTCAACTTTGCCAAGCTTCTCGAGTTCAACCAGAACAACATGCCCTTCGCTTCCGCCTCCATTGGCCGCTCCTACCGTAACGAGATCTCCCCAGGGCCGGTCTTTTGCGTGTACGCGAGTTCCTCATGGCCGAGGTCGAGCACTTTGTCGACCCCGAGGGCGGCAAGAAGCACGAACGCTTCCACGAGGTGGAACATGTTGAGCTCGTCCTGCTCGATCGCCACGTCCAGCTCTCTGGCAAGACGAATTTGACCAAGATGACCATTGGCGATGCCGTCAAGAACGGGGTTGTCGATAACGAGACTCTTGGCTACTTCCTCGCCCGTATCTTCCTTTTCATGAAGAGGATTGGCGTGGACGAGTCCAAGCTGCGCTTCCGCCAGCACATGGCCAACGAGATGGCGCATTACGCCGCCGACTGCTGGGACTGCGAGCTCCTCACCTCGGCCGGCTGGATCGAGTGCGTGGGCTGCGCCGACCGAAGCGCCTACGACCTGAGCGTCCACGCCAAGAAGACGGGCGCTGCCCTCTACGTGCGCGAGCGCCTCGACGAGCCCAAGATCGTTGAGGAGTTCGAGGTCGAGATCGACAAGAAGCAGTTTGGTCCCCGCTTCAAGAAGGACGCCAAGGCCGTCCAGACGGCGCTCGAGGAGTCGAACCAGCAGGAGCGCGAGGGCTTCGCCAAGACCCTTGCCGACAGCGGCAAGATCACCGTCAAGGTGGCTGGTGTGGGCGACGGCAACGTCGAGGTCACGAGCGACCTGGTCAAGATTGAGCGCAAGAAGCGCACGGTCAACATTCGAGAGTACACACCCAACGTCATTGAGCCGTCGTTCGGTATCGGTCGCATTCTCTACTCCCTCATGGAGCACAGCTACTGGACTCGCGCCAGTGACGGCGGTGATGAGGCTCGAAGCGTGAGTCACAACCCTCCCCTCCTTCTTTCTTTTCGACCAACCAGCCAGCTAGCCTGCCTAGGTCGTGGCACGACCCTCACATCACTGTCTTGAGATTTTGTAATAAGCATGCTAATTTCTTCTCCCTTATAGGTCCTCTCTTTCCCCCGACCGTAGCTCCCACCAAGGTTCTCCTCGTCCCTCTCTCCACCAACGCGGCCTTTAAGCCCTTCATCACCAAGCTTTCCAGAGGCTCCGCCAGCTCGGTATTTCGAGCAAGGTTGATGCGTCGTCTGCAACCATTGGCAAGCGCTACAGCCGTAATGACGAGCTCGGTACCCCTCTCGGTGTGACGATCGATTTCCAGACCGTCAAGGACGGCAGCCTAACGCTGCGCGACCGCGACACCATGGTTCAGGTGCGCGCCGACGAGGACAAGATTCTTGAGGCCATCAAGGATATTGTCGAGGGCAACAAGACTTGGGCGGATGTCGAGAATGAGCTGCCCAAGTTTGTTGGCCAGGAGTTGGAGGTTGAAGTGCGATAGATTTCCGGCATGATGACGGAGTCTGTTTCTATCTGTTTATAGTTAATTGGCGAAAAGAAGAGAAGCGCAAGGTCAAAGAATGAGAAGGCGATGAAAAACAAAGTCTTTTTCTCTCAAAAAAGAAACCATTTGGTAGTAAGTAGCATGGGAACGACGGTGTCAGCAACTTTTCCTTTGTGGTGTTAGGATAGAGGGTAGAGGGCGGGCATGAAATATATCTGTATCCATTTTGACAAGGTTTCAAACCACCCGTTCGCTTACAGGCGGCTCGTGGGCATCTTGCGTTGCCTTGGGATAAGGCTATTAGTAGGTGGGCGCGCCTCAAGAAGGAACTAATCCCTCGATAATGAGCTCAAAGGCTGACTTTAAGTCGATGACATCATTGTCAGCGACCTCCCGACGGGCATGATAGATGCCGAGCCCTTGAGCACTCATCAAAGCTTTTCCCCGAATATCCTAGGATTGTGTGTCAAGGGATGATATTGGAGCAAAGTGCATGCAAAACGTACGCAAATCTCGGAAGAAGAGAAGAGCGCCTTTGGAGCGGCTGAGAGAGGAGTCAAAGGTGATGTGTGTGTGAACCTATCTGAGCAACATCCGTTGACGATCCCCCACACTTGGTAGGAGGTGTCTTATGTGGTTTGTTCACACGATAAGGCGCGAGAAGGGGATCATCCCCACGAGCGCGCACGGTCAGATATCTTGATAGATGGGTACAGAGGTCCAGGAAAGGGAAATAATGGGCAGATGCCAGCCTAGCAAAAGGGCTGTTGACGCGATATATGCTAGTTGTGAGGAATGCGCCAGAGGACAGAAATGAGGGCGTGGTGGTGGGGGAGATCTGAGAGGGGTTAGGGAAATCTGGAGCTGGCTCAATCGGGGATGGTTTGGTGATGATGCCATCGACGAGGCGTTGGCGCCGGTGGTGCTGATTGCTCGTTGACTAGCTCAACCCTTGACAGGCCGGGCCCCTCATCCTCGTCAACCCCTTGTTCGTTATGCATGTGTCAGAGGGCGTTTGGTGTGATACGGTGGAGACGACCAGAAAAAATGCGGAGATGCTGGGAGCATGCAGTCGATGGCTGCCCGGGGTGAGCTCGAGTTTGGACCGGGAAGGATGCGAACAGCTTGGCGATGTTGCATTGTGTTACACGGAAGGGGGAGGTCTCCCATTTTGTGAGAGAGAGAGAGAGACTTCGGAGGGAGCGGCGCTTGGATAGCAGGGGCATTGAGCTGAGGGGTTTGCTGGAAGTGAGGCTTCCGTGGCAGGTCCCCTGCAAAGTATATATATATTGAGCTTGCGCGATAGCATTTGGAGCAGACTTTTTGTTCTTTGGTCGTTTTCTTCATTTCGCCCTTTGGAGACGTCCTTGCCCTCTGTATTTTGTGCTTCAACTATACGGATATTCCAGATCAATTTGAACTCTTGCGTCGTCTACTTACAGAGTAAAGCCCACGGCTATTCTTCCCACCTTTTTTCATCATGAGCGCCGAGACTCCGGTCCAGAAGAACCTCGTGGAGGCCAACGGCGCGTACGCGAGCAACTTTCCCCATGGAGATCTTGCCCTTCCGCCAGCGAAGAAATACCTTATCCGTAAGACCTAAGCACACCTCAAAACAAGAAGAAGAAAGAAGTCTACAGACATCAGAAAAGAAAAAGACATGTCCAAAGACGCACGCCAGGACACAAAACAGCTAGCTAACCTCGAGGCATTCCCATAGTGACCTGCATGGACGCACGCATCGACCCGGCAGCCGCGCTCGGCATCTCCCTCGGCGACGCGCACGTGGTACGCAACGCCGGCGCCAGCGCCCGCGAGGCCCTCCGCAGCATCGTCATCTCCCAGCAGCTCCTGGGCACGCGCGAAGTGTTTGTGATCAAGCACACGGACTGCGGCATGCTGACGTTTACGGGCGACGTGGCGCGGGGCATCGTCGGGACGAACCTGGGCGCCGAGGCCGCGGCCGAGGTGGCGGGGCTCGACTTTGAGTTCCCGCACCTCGAGGACGAGGTGAAGAAGGATGTGGAGTGGCTTCGGGGCAGGAAGGCGGTGGCGGATGTGCCGATTACGGGGTGGGTGTATGATGTGAGGACGGGCAAGGTTTCGCAGGTGGTGTAAGGGGTTTTTTGGGGGACTGGAGACCAAGAGAAGAGGGACGAGGAGGGAATCAAGGGATTGGTAATTACGATTGGCGGTTTTTGGAATGTTCAATTCGTTGTGGGTGGACTTTACGGCGTGGAACGGGCAGTTTTGGTATTTTGGGTGCACATGATGGATGGTAGCTGGCCTCGGTGTCTCAAGGCCTTCATGTTGCGGGTGTGGACGAACTGTCTTGGTGTTTTGTTAAATGAACTTGAATTTCATGAATACGTCTACCCTAGTGCACCTACTACATGTATTCCTCAACCATTTGCGATGCAAACGGATCAATGTGGAAATGGAAGTGTGAGAACCAACCGCCGTGCAATGCACTTTCATCGCATCGATCAATCATTGATCTCTGAGCGGTTGACTGCGGGGTCGAACCGAAAATCAGAGATTGAAATGCTCCATCTACGGATGTTAATACCATTCCACACCACGGCTAACAGGTAACGGATGGGCGGAAACATCCATTCTTTTTTTATCCTCCAATTTCTCAAACCCCTCTTCCCGGGCAGAAGGGTAAATTCGCCTCGTCTCTTGTCGTCTTCCGCTCACCACATAAGTCGCCACAATGGCCATCTCCGAGGACCCCCACAGCCCCAACCTTCCTTCGAGTTCACCCCCGATTCGCTCATCGCCGAGGCCAGGGCCCTCATCGACCGCACCAAAGCCCTCGAGGACCACCTCGCCGCCACCCTCACCCCCGAGACCGCCACCTTTGAGTCCCTCCTCCTCCCCTGGAGGACGACGACCTGACTTCGCGCTCGCGCACGTCGATCCTCCACCTCATCGGCACCGTCCACGCTGACCAAGCCCTGCGAGATGCGTCGCTCGAGGCCGACAAGCTCCTGAGCGCCGCGGGGACCGAGAGCATCGCCCGGCGCGACATCGCGGCCCTCGTCCGCGCCGTGTACGAGCGGTACGAGCGCGGCGAGGAGGACCTCGACCCGGAGGACGCCCACCTCCTCGAGCAGACGTACGGCGCCTACCGCCGCAACGGGTCCGCCCTGGAAGAAGGCCCCGAACGAGACCGGTTCCTCGCGCTCAAGAGGGAGCTCCAGGACGTGCTGAACGCGGCGAGAAAGACGCTCAACGAGGCCGACGACGGCGTGTGGTTCACGCGCGCGGAGCTCGAGGGCGTGCCCGACAGGAACATTGCCAAGTACAAGCGCGGCGACGAGGACGGCGGCGGTTCCGAGACGTACCGCGTCACGTTCCGCGGCGGCGACTACCCGGCCCTCATGCAGAATGCCGTGCGCGCGGCGACGAGGAAACGGGCCTACCTCGCGCGGAACAACCGGTTTCCCGAAAACGTCGAGAGGCTGCGGCGCGTCGTCAAGCTGCGGGATACCCTCGCCAAGATCCTTTGCTACGAGAACCACGCGTCGTTGAAGATGGAGTCTCGCATGTCTGAGAGCGTGGACGAGGTCGTCCGCTTCCTCGAGGATCTCCGCGTGAGGCTGACGCCCCTCGGCAAGGAGGAGATTGCGGCCGTTCTGCGACTCAAGCGGGCTCATCTTGAGGAGGGGGCCGCGGATGCTGTGGACGAGGAGGAGCTCGGGACGCTTTACGAGTGGGACTGGGCGTTTTACGTGCGCATGTACGATCGCGAAAAGTTTGCCCTCGACATGAGCAGGTTTCCCGAGTACTTTGAGGTGTGGCACACGCTCGCGGGGATGCTCTCCATTTTTGAGAGGTTGTTCAAGCTCTCCTTTCGTCGCGCCGAGTGCGATGGCTGGCACGAGGACGTGATTCTCTACACGGTGTGGGATGGCGATGAGCTCGGTGCCGGCTTCTTGGGCTATCTCTATCTAGACATCTTTAATCGCAAGGGGAAGCTCTCGCAGGCTCGCCACGTGTCTATTGTGCCGGTGAGAGCACTTTTCATTTACCAGTTTCCTTTTCTTCCTCTCTCTCTCACTCTCCGTCTTCCTACTTCTCATCGCGATGGTTGGACGTCCGTCACTAACACGCAAAGCAGGGCTTTATTGACGAGGGCAGAGGAAAGCGGCAGTACAGGGCGAGCGCGCTCATCCTCAGCCTCAGCAAGCCCACTGTAGAGACCCCCACCCTCCTGCTCCACGGAGAGGTCAAGACCATGTTCCACGAGCTGGGCCACGCCATCCACTACCTCGTCAGCAAGACAAAATACGCCCTGGGCTTCTCGCGGGACTTTGTCGAGATCCCCAGCATCATGCTCGAGAACTGGATCTGGGACCCAAACGTGCTCGTCCAAGTCAGCAAGCACTACAGCCTCCTGGGCGAGGATACCGCGCGGCACTGGAAGGCCGAGCAGGACAAGGCGGTCGCCGGGGGAGTCCGTCGAGGAGCCGGAGGCGAAGCTGCCGCGCAAGTTTGCCCAGGATCTTGCGCGGACGAGAGCCGTCAACGGGACGCAGCACATGCTCGGACTCGTCCACCAGGCGCTCTTTGACTTGACGATTCACACGGGCAAGGGGTACGGCGATGTGGCGGATATTGACCTCACGCGCTTGTATAGCGAGATGGGCCGGGACATCACCATGCTCGCCGGGCTACTTGATGGGCGGACGGGCGAGCCCACGACGATCAAGGAAGCTGGGTTCGGGCATATATTCCGTGCCTACGACGCAGGCTACTTTGCCTACGCCATGTGCGTAACTCCCCCTTCCCTCCTCAAATTCCTAGGGTTGAAAAAAGGGAGCTTCTACTAACGATGCATACGCGTGCATCAATATTTAGGGCACGGACGATTGCCATGGACTTATTCGTGACCTTTTTCGCAAAGGACCCCATGGACGCCGAGGTCGGCGCCAGGTACCGCAGGGACTTTCTCCAGCGCGGGGCGGGCCGCCCAGAGGCCGAGATTTTGCGCGGATTCCTCGGGCGCAAACCTAGCACCGTGCCGTTTTTCGAGTTTCTGGCCGGCGCCCCGAAACCCCTGGATGCGGAACCCCAGGCCCAGACCGAGCCGCGGAGTAGGTTGGCTTAGAAAAGGCGAGGGTGGAGGGGAAATCCTGCGGGCGAGGGTCTTTTGCGGGCTGTCGGACGAAGTTGGGTTTGTATTTTGCGGAGACATCCCTCGGAAATCGAGAGGAAGATAGAATTGCTGTACCCCCTCTGTCGGGATCAGTTGGACCAATTGGGATTTTGTGCTAGAGATAGCAACAAGGGAGATAGTGTGTTTAACCTTTGCTAGAAATCACAACAAACAGAGTCTATTCATCCATTTTCAACTGCTGGAACGTTTCCCGCCTTTTTCCCAGGCCAGGTTGGAAAGAGAAAGAAAGCCCTCACAAAGGTTGCTAGCTTACAAAAGTGAGGTTTGGCAAGGACTTGCTCGCTCAACCCTGGGTTGTGCCACTTTTCCCTCTGTCCGGCTCGGGCCCCTTTGCTTTCCCGGGTTCATTGCTAACCCGGCCCCCACTTTCCCGGCCGGTTGACCCACACGGCTCGTGTCCCGGAGAAGGCCTGGCAAGTAAGTCTATATGGAGGAACAAAAATTCAAACCTCGTTCGCAATCCGAAGCCTTGGTGCGAGCGAGCTGTATTTTATTTGCGTCCTTTTCTTCTATTTTGCCGCTGACGAAGCGAATGGTCCTCTGGTCTTTCTATCGGGATTTCAAAGACCTCTGGTCAAACCGCTTGGATTTCCCAAGCGAGTCTGGGCTGAAGAGTGGGCACGAGATCGGCTGGAAGTGTCGTGTCGTTCGACCGCATTGATCGACATCCAAACGTCTCAGATCATCCAGGTAGACGAAACCACCATTATGCGCCCGCTCTTACTCTTTTGCTTTATTTCCTTCCCCTCCATATCGAGCACACATCCTTTTTCCTTTCTTTTTGCCTTAGCGCCCGTTGGGCTCGGGCGACGCATAATCCATCAACCGTCTCGTCCCCTCCAGGGTTTGCATCCGACCCCTCTCATCCCTTTGCCTCCCCATGTCATTTTACGCCGGGACTTGTGTCCCACGAATCCATTTCCATCTCGTCTGTACTTTATTCCCTTTTCTGCATGCTTTTCTTCAAGCATCCGAGAAAAGAATGTGCTCGCATGGCGCGCGTCGCAAAGCCGATTGAAAGGGGGGAGGGTCTTGCACGGAAGCAAGCGATGCCACGGTTCCTAACACCTCCTTTTCATCTTGTCTCTGGCATCTTGGAACGGAAATGGGACAGGAATTGATGTTAGCTATCCCACAACTGAATGTGATCTTTTGCATCTTCTACGTCAGCCTCCCTTCACCGTCCTTGCGCCGCGCTTGATGGTTGGCGCAGTCCGTTGAAGTTGCAGACATGGAGGAAAGCCAACAAGAAAAAAGAGCGACAAAGAGGAATTGTTCCCATGAGCATGAGCCGCAGCGGGGAAAACAAACGCACATCAATTTTGATCATTAAACTCGCCGAAGAGGTGATTTGCATGGGATCGCCTGGCTCCGTTTCCATCGGTCGCCGAACGGGAGATCCAGTCGCGCAGAAGGGTTTCCCTTCTTCTTCTTCTTCTTCTTCTTCTTCTTCTGCTGCTGCTTCCCTCCTTCTATCCTGTTCATTGTTTCTCCCCTGGTCTCCCCGCCTGGCGATGATCCAAACATGGCGGCGCCTAGCTGAGAGGGAGGGCTGGTGTTTGGTGGATTCGGCCTCCTCCGCAGTCTCAGCTTGGTGATCAATCCGCAACTCCTGGTAGGGGTCGGGTGCTCTTTTGGTTCTTGACAGTCTTTTGAATGTTCTTTTTCCTCCCTTTCATTTTTTCTGGGTCGCTTAATGGATGCACACAAACCTGTCGCGAACTATGCTTACAAGAAATTGAAAAGAAGAATGGGTTGATAAGACATATGATCCCCAGCTACGGTGTCGTTTGTTTCCTTCTTTTCCCGTTTGTTCCTCACCTTTCAGATATAGCGCCTCGATTACCACCGAGGTATCAAAGTTACCATTGAATCTTTTAAGACGACGCGAACCTACTTAGAAGCTCACTCACTCACGAAGAAAAAAAAGAAATTCAAACACTTTAGACATGCGCACCCTCCTCCCCGCCGCGGCCGCGCTCCTCGCGCTCGCCTCGCCCGCCGCAGCCAGCCTCTTGTCGAAGCGCCAGGCCGTCGTCTCCTGCACAACCTATTCGTGCGGCGGGGCAAGCAGTACTTTGGGACCATCACAGACCAGCGGCTGCTCCTAGCCGACGTCAACGCGGCCATCATCACGAGCAACTTTGGACAGCTGACCAACGAAAACAGCCTCAAGTGGGAGTCGGTGGAGCCCGAGCGCGGCGTCTTCAACTTTGACGAGCCCGACTTCGTGCTGGGCTTCGCCGAGGAGCACAACATCCCCATGAGGGGCCACACGTTGGTTTGGCACTCGCAGCTACCTGGTTACGTGCAGAACATCACCGACGCTGCCGAGCTCACCGAGGTCATCACGGAACACGTAACCACCGTGGTGGAGAGGTACAAGGGCAAGATATTTGCCTGGGTAAGTGATTATCAAGACCCTCGGTCAGAAGCTTTGTTTCTCGTTTGAAATTCTTCTCTTCTTCTTTATCCTCTTTGCGTCTTTCTCACTTGTTTCCCCATTCTTGAGTGTCATAGAGAGAGGGAAAGAGAACATTCTGGGGTGGTTAATCGTGTAGAGAGTGCAATCACTAACCGTTGACGGAGGAAAGGACGTGGTGAACGAAATCTTCAACGAAAACGGAACCTTCCGTGAATCCGTCTTCTTCAACGTTCTCGGAGAGGGTTTTGTCCCCTTTGTCTTCAACCTAACGCGAAGCCTTGATCCCGATGCCAAACTCTTCATCAACGACTTTAACCTTGACCAGGCCGAGTCTCCCAAGACCCAGGCCATGGTGACCAATGTGCAAAGTGGATCGCCGAGGGTGTCCCCATCGACGGCATCGGTAAGCTACACATTCCATTTTCTTCCTTCGCTTCTGCACCTACACGAGCTTTGGAAATGGCGCTAACATCAGACTCGCGATTTAGGATCGCAAACTCACCTCATCGCGGGACTCTCCGCGGGCGTTCCCGGAGCGCTCCAGGCCCTCGCTGCGAGTGGGGTAGAGCAGATCGCGGTGACGGAGCTGGATATTGGCGACGCGGAACCGGAAGAGTACACAATTGTGGTTCAGGCTTGCCTCGACATCGAGTCGTGCGTAGGCATCACCGTCTGGGGTGTGTCGGACAAGGTAACGTCACCTCTGCCACCCATGCGTCGTTCATGTACTTAAAATATTGAATCATCTTTCACAACATGCGTGAACTGGGCGATTCTGAAACCTTTCAGCCATATACGCCATATACTAACCATTTTCTCCGTAATCTAGGATTCGTGGAGGCCTGGCGAGGACCCCTCCTTTTGACGGGGACTTCAACCCTAAGCCCGCATACGACGCCATCGTCCGGGAACTTTGCACCGACAACTGCATCGGGTGAGAATAAGCCTTCCCCTTGAGGAGCCGTTGTCGAAACGAGGAGAAGATGGAAGCGGAAAAAAGGAGAGTAGAAGAGGAAAGAAGAACAGAAGCAGAAGAAAGGGTAGACGCGGAAACGAATAAGACTCGGAAATAACTAATGTGGCGTTGGGCATGTTTTTGTCTCTATTTTTGTGGGATTCTTCAGACCGCTTCCGGGTTGCGAAAGCTACTGCCGAGAAGCAAGCGCGATGACATTGCAGTCGTTGAGGTGGACGGGAAAGGGATTTGCCTTGGTGTCATGGTTCCGCATCTGCTACTACAAGCGCTCTAGTGTATGCTCTGTCGCCCAAGCCCCCTTTCAAAGTAGAAGATCAACAGAGGGCAGGAAAACGGGCGACTAAAGAAACGAAGAAACGAAGAAAAAAAGTTTCAAAATTGCAGCTAAACGAAAAGTGGTGAAAGGCAGGGCCCTAGTGAGGACGTGTAAAATCAGTAAAATCAGATGGAAGCTGTGTAACTGTTTGGTAGTCAACGCAACGGCCCAAAGCTGTGGCGCATGATGAGGGCAGAGAGGCATCCTCTCCGACGAGACGGAAATGGTGGGATGACGCCCACAATACCGAGGTACTGGGGTCGAGGTCTGTTGGGATACGCCAGGTAGTTTAACTTGCAATATTCTCGGGACTGAGGTATCAGCCTGTTTGGAGACAGGCTGACCCATGCAAGCGCAATGAGGGCAGTGTGGCGGTGCTGGCGATGTCCGACTAGCCTCGGAGCGTTGGGCCAGAATTGTTTCCACGTTTGCCCACTTCGCTTATCGCTTGCATCGCCTAAATGGACCAACACTTTGGAAACTGGATACATGTAAGAAGAGCGGATTCAAAGAGAAAATACACACAAAGCGCACACACATCACTCAAGCCTCGGAAACATGTGACTGCAGCGCGATGCAGGTTTGCTGGCCAGCCACCCACTAGGCCACGACCTGGGTCTGGCTGAGCAAGAATGATGGCGGGCTTGACGGGTTTGCCCGGGAGTGAAAGCAATGCCATCAATTGATGCTATTAATGTTGGTTTGCGCTGATGTTGGTTAGTCTATATAATCGCTTGAGATGATTATGAAGAAGAAAAGTGTACTCGGAGCTCTCTTGTTCGGTTCTTCCGCTGTACAGAAAGGCCAATAAACGCATCTCTCGATGGAGGCATGAAGCCAACGAGACAGCGTCATCTGTTTTGCGATGTGTAATGTACTGTATGAGGCGAGAGTCCTCGGGAAGCTGCCAACCAGGGCTCTGCGCTGGTTTCGGTATTCTCGCAAGTGGATTCACCCAACAACTCATCGCTTTCTCTTCTCTTGTTGGTAGCCTTGTAGGGCTCACAGACTACGTGGCGTAACCTCCAAAGCGGCTGCGGCTGCGGATCCGAGATCAAGGTCAATCTAGATCCATTGGTATTACACCTACCGTTTTAGGCATCCAGCGGATCTTTGGGCATCCATGGTATCCAATGATGGCATTCAGGGCATAAGCCGTTGAATGTCGATTAAAGGGGATATCTTGACTGGACCGGACCACGCTTTCCCATCATCAAACCCGCCCAACACAAGAAACCAGCAAAACCTCATCCTCCGAGGACAACACGGAGCCAATGACGTTGCTGACCTTGACATTGAACCCTTTAGCCAGCCCAGCGATGCCGATGCCGCATTCCCGCAGGGGGAAGCAACGGCAGGGCGTCCGACAACTGTATTAATCCCCACCGCGCATACCTTGGACGGTCTTAGCGCGTTTGGCTGGTTGGGCCTGGTTTGTGGCCCGTGAGATGCGCCATCGCTGCTTCAGGGTAGCGCGCCGTGGGGCGGTGTTCCAGCTCCGACATGGACCCAGTGCTAGTGAACATGACCTGCACCTTGGCGAAGAAGAAGCCATTCAACCCTCTGTCGAGCCTCACGAGACGCTGCGTTTTGGCGTGCAGCTTTTTTATTTTCCTTTTGGGGGAGGGAGAGATGCGCAATTTCCCCGCGAGCAGCTAGATCCCCGCCGGGAGAAAAGGGTCAACACGACTGAGGTTAAAAGATGATGGTCTCGCCTGCTTCTTTCATGACAAGCTCGATGCATTCGGATTCCCTTTGTTCGTACAACTTGCAACGTCAAAGAAAACTCGCATTCTTGTCTTGATCTGGACAATTTGACTGGATAACCGTCCTTCAGACGCAAACAGGACGCACGCATATTTCATACATATACCCAACACCTCTCCCATCAGCTCTCGTCCATCCAGAGGCATTTCTCCGTTTTCCCCACCACACAAGCCAAATCCGGCGCCTCCCAAACCCCCCCCTCCCACGATTCAACACAACCCAGCGCATCTCAGTATTTTTCCCCGTCGGTAACCATGCTGGCCGCCGAAGATGACTACGTCCCCACCTACGAGGAGACCCCCAAGGCTTCGCCGACTGGTTCGCCACCCTCGACGTCGACTCCCTCGGCCTCCCCTCACCCGGCACCCCTTCTTCCGCACCCGGGGCGGCGGCAACGTCGCCGACCCCGTCATCAGCCCCGAGCTGTACGCCATCCACGCCGACATCTTCAACCGCTTCTTCGACGCCATCGCCGCCCGCAACGTCGACCTACTCGCTCTCATGGTCTCCAGCGGGCTCATCTCCCCTGCGCCGTCCAGAGCGACCGCAGCACCGCCCTCATCGCCGCCGTCGACCTCGGGAACCCCGCCGTGGTGCGCCACCTCGTCAGCCTCGGCGCCGACGTCGCCCAGCTCGGGCGCTACGCCGGGGCTGAGCGCACCCCGCTCCAGGTCGCCGCCGCCAAGGGTCTCCTCTCCCTTGTCAAGTTCTTCATGGAGGAGTGCGGCGCCGACGACGCCGTCATCGCCCCCGACGGCCAGATTGCCCTCCGTCTCGCCGCGAAGGGGGTCATCGCGAGGTTGTCCAGTATCTTCCGGTGCGGAGGGGCGGTGGCTGGCGTCGCTGGAAGACGGAGCACGCCAAGCTCATGAGCCGCGCCAGGCGTGCCGCGCGCGGAATCGTCCGCTTCTGCGTCTTTGTCGCGTGGGATATTCCCACGTTCCTCCTCTACACCGTCCCCAAGCACGCCGTCGTCCTCCCGCTCAAGAGGAATATCAAGTGGGCCATCGAGCACCGCCACCTCTTTGGGCCTTGGTGCAAGCGCCAGATCCTCGCCATCCCCAACTACGCGAAGAGAGGCGCCCGGGCCGTAGGTCGCGTCCTCAAGGAGATCCCCGAAATCATCGCGGATGTCTGCAAGTGGCTCTGGACCACTCTCAAGGAAGCCCCGGCCGCATCAAGAAGGCCGCCGTGGCCATCGGTTCTTGGCTCGCCAAGACTGCCCGCCGCTTTGGAGCCGCCGTCGGCCACGTCTTTGCCCAAATCTTCTCCGTCCTGCACACCATGCTCGCGGCCATCGTTTCCTTTTTCCGCCAAATTACCCTCAAGGACGTGTGGGACGGCTTCTACCGGCTCATGCGAGCCATCTTTGTTGGCTTGCCCAAGGCGATCTGGGCGGGTATCAAGGCGATTGGCCAGACTTCGTATGATGTCCTTGCGGCCCTCTTTGGCTTCGTAGGCAAGGCTATCTGGTGGATCATCTGGCTGTTCTGGCAGGCGATCCAGTTCGTGCCTATCATGATCGCCACCATTTTCATGTCGTTTGTCAGGTCGATCGGGACGGCGTTCCGCGAGGTCATGGTCTGGTTCAATCCCAAGATGGCATAAGAACAAGACACCGAGCCCTAGTCCTTGTCACGCTTCCTCCCCCTCCTTTGTTATATGTTTCTTATTCTCAAATCTTGTCCTTTTTCCTTTGTCGCCATGTATGATTAGCCTTGTACAATAGAGGGCTGGCTTCCAGTTGGAGCATGATACCCACAACCCTGCTATCAATAATACCATAACAGATTCACAAAGAATGAAAGCCTCCACGCCATCTCCTCACCATCCTCACTAACATCGCATCCCTAACTGACATCGCGAGGTTTCCATCCAGGGCCACCCCATTCCTTAAATAGACTTTCTTTCTTCTCCCTCTGCAGATCTTTCTCTCTCCCCTCTTTATTCCCTCCCCAACCTTCCCTTGAACATTCAAGAACATCAACCCTCGATATTTACAACAAACATACCCGACAGAAACAGCCCATCATGTCTAGTTCTTACGATCCAAACATTGACAAGTCATCCTCCCCCTTGACCCAGCCGAGCGAGCCACTCGCTTCCCCGCAGGACGAGCCGGCCAGCGTTCCCACCGACGTCGCCCCGGCCGCCGCCTTGGACTTTGACGTGAACAGTACCTCCACCATCGTCATCTCGACTGGCCGCGTGCGAGAGCACCCGTGCTGCCACTGCCTCCCCGCTTACTTCAACCGCGCTCGTGGCCGGGGAGGTGTAGGCGACTTTGAGCCATGCACGGATTCCATCTGTAAGATTTGTTCCCCCAAACCCTTGGTGCACGGCGATCGATAGACTCGCTTTCAAAAGAAACGCCAACGGAAATTTCAGGGAGAACATGGTTGAACGCAATGCTGACGAATTCTTTTATTAATTTTATCTAGTCTGGGGTGGCCGATGTGTCCGCTGTGAGCAACATGACCGGTCCTGTCGAAGGCTTCCAGATGAGCATGGCGACCAAGTTCTTGCTCTGGCCAAAGGCGTCGGCGAGCTATCTTTGGAGCCCGAGAACGTGGGTCTACTCCCCTCACATCCCCTTCGTTTAATCACTGTCCTTTCCAATCCCATGTCCCAGCGGCTGACTTTCCACGAAACACGAGATACAGGCTGGCAAGAAGAACACTGCTCTCATGGCCATCGTAGTCGAGCTCGAGGCTGCTCTGGCCTAGGAGGTCATGAAGGAGGTCATCATGCTTCAGGAGCCTACAGAGTGAGATGCAGGTGGAAATGGTCCTTGTTTAGGGAGAGCTATTCTTCGGAGGGAGGCCAATGGCCCATCGCGAGAGTATAGGCATCATTGGTCTATCATATATTGCAGTGGTGAGATCGAGGATTGGTCGGAGATGAAGAGATAGCAAAGCTTCCCATAGGCATGTTCCATAGGTTTTGAACCGGGCGGACTTAGGTCCTTAGATAATTATACGGCGATCAGTTCGCCTTTCTTCACGAGCTTTCGTATGATCGAAGAAATTCTCAACGCGCCGTAGGCTATTCGCTTAAACACTCCTCAGAATGATCCCGAGCGTGTCTAGCTAGCGCCTGTAGTTGTAAAGGACACGTCAAGGCCATGACGTGCTCGCCTGACTCCCATCTAGCAATTCATCTCCTCCAGACATGTAGAGAGGTCGCCAAGGTCTTGCAGGCAGGAGCCACCCTTACATGATCTTCCGGAACCTATTCATCGGAGAAATCAACACTATCATTGCTCCTGCCTCCGTAGTCAACTCTTCCTTCCCTGGTTACAGGCCTGCCACCGAAGCTTGGAGTCTATGGATGGATGTTTTCTTCTACTCGAAGGCACTAAGCTCAACCCCATCTCCGTTCCTTTACATCCATTGCATCTACAGATGCCTTGGTAGGCTTGGTCGGAAATGTGGACACCTTCAAGTGCTTTGAGCTTATGGAGCGTAGAAGAAACTTGAGCAGTGGTCCCCGCCCATGTCCTTGACGGCAGGGACGAGCGACCTTGATCTGCCAGTGGTAGAGTCCAAGGGTAGTATGAGCCTCCTTGGTCTTGAAAACCTCACCTATACGCGGGCCAGGCGGTGAGTCTGAGCGAGACGGCATCGAGATCTTACTACAGGCTTCATCTCAACATGTTTAGTGACCGACGTATTGCATCGGAGGGGATGTCCTCTTGCAACATCCATCTCTCGAATGGCGCCGTGGAGCGCACCTTGTTGAGGTCCCCTCAACACGGAGATCGGCCTTCTTGTGCCACCGGACCTGCGGCCCTCCAGGGTCACCCTCATGTGTCAGGAGAATGGCGTGAAGGAGGGTACTAAGTCTACGCGAGACTGCCACCCACATGCCTGGGCCTGGCAGAGCAACAAAAGGCCTTGGCTACTATTCTTTTCCCCCTTCCTCTTCCCCTCTTCCATCCTTTTCTTCATTGTTATCTTCACAACACCTGCTTAGCCTAGTGGACTAGTGAACCCTTGACGAGTCTCTGTCTTGCCCTTGAGGATACGCCCCCACTTTCATGATTGATGGACTCTCCGAACTAGCGATGAGGGGGGAGCCCTGGATCTCTGATAATTTTTAGTTACCCTCTTATCTCATCTTTACCACTAGTTTAGAGACGACCCTAATTTTCGACAGTGAGCGACTATATCTTCTTTCTCCTCTTTTGTTTCTTCCTTTTTTCCTTCTTAGCATGAAAGGGGTCTAGCAGGGCCCGGATGTCTCACTTGAGACCAAGGGCCCGTTGCTGTCTCGGCCTCCCATCGAGGATTCCCGTGCCCCATCGTAACCCAAACCCGGTCACCTCAACCTTCCCTTCACCGAATTAAACATTTGACGGCCGGACTTGCCATCTTATCTAGAAAACAAAGGTAGAGATGGGACGGGGGAGACTTTTCGCGCCATTGCCTTGGGTCAATACTTGCGTGGTGTAATGGAAGGCGGCGCGGCCGACGGATCGATCCTTCACTGTATAGCCATGCCCATAGGCCTGCTCTCTGGCCAGCCGGGCCGGGCGAGTCAGTCAGCTTGGGTCGTTTTCTCCGGACGCGATGGCGCCAGCTTTCTTCATGTGGCTCTCGGAGCTTTCTGGTCTTTTCAGCCCGAGACTTTCCCGAGGGCGGCGCAGCAGCGCCACAAACCACCCAGTCTTGCCAGGGCACACCTTTGAGCAAAGGCAAAGAGGGAAACCGGGGTGGAGACGCCAGAAGAGAGCGCCACAGGCACAAAAGGCGAAAGTCATCCGCTCTGAGCCAATCGCATCCCGTTCTTCGTCCGATCATCGCCGGTTGCCCACTCTGTGAAGACTCTGAAGACTGTGAAGACAGCCGCCAAGGCGCCCGCCCCTGCCTGTCCCCCATTCCTCCTCCGTCAGCGATGATGTAGAACTTGGAAAGAGTGGAGAGGATAGTGGAGGCGTTTTTTTCTCTCTTCTCCCCCTCTCTTCTTCTTCTTCCACTTTTTCTGTCCAAATAGTTCGAAGACCTTCCTGTGCCTCGATTTCAACGATGAACTTGGTTAGTCCCGACGCTAAGGAGGTCCAGTCAGGCCCCCAGGCAGAAACATTGGATCGGGAGTTGGGTCGCTGGTGTTAGCTCTGTCGAATCAGGCCTCTTCCAGTGTTCCCGGCCTTTCCATTCTTGGTTTCCTCCCGAATTTTTCTGGGAGGCGCCACCATCCTCTCTACCGACAACAAGAAACAAAAAGAGGGGGGCGGACGGGAGAGGAACTGGATCGGTAGGGGACAGGGCCTGCGATGCGAGGAAGGGCAGAACAGCGCATTGCTTCGCACAGAGGCGAGGCTTTAGGATCGGCTTTGGGCACGTCACTCACGCGATGGCGAAAGAAGAGAGAGGGAAAATGGCGCTTCCTTACCCCCTCCTTTCAAAGAGAAAATCCTTGTTCCCTGTCGAGTCATGAGATCTCCTCATGCTCCTTTGTTCGAAACAGCGAGGGAAACGTGGTCGAGGGTCGTTGCGCGTTGGTGCCTTGCATTCCTGTCGAGGCTGACGGGGCGAATGGTGGTGGCTCGTCGCCCTCCTTGATGGAGGGCTAATGCAAGGGACGGCCAGGGCAAGCCCGGGTGATGGAAGCAAGATTTGATTTTTTCTCTCTCTGTTTTTCCTGATGGGTGACTTCCGCGCGTAACAAGTCTTTGATGGGAGGCGAAGGAGTGTCTCGAAGCTGCGCACCCGGTCTCTTTTCGCCCGTGGCGGATGTGAATTACACGGATCCATTGCATCCTTTCGATATTCTGTTGTCACTCTCAGTTCTTTTTTGGCTCCTCTCTCGCCCGCCTCCCGCCGGCCAAGTCATATGTTGTTGGTTGGGCCAGACATGATGCCTCCTCCTCCGCCTTCCGCCCTTTCCTTGTGGGCGAACGACGGAGTAGGGTAACATCAAGCTAAACAGGAGAGAGGAAAAAGAGAATTTTTTTGTCAAGAAAATGCGCCCAAAAAGAGCGCAAGTTACCACATCCCAGCCAGCTTCTCAAGCTTCTCTCTGGCTCGACCAGATTCCAGCCCTCTTCGGCTCTTCTGAGACGAGACTAGAAGACGGCATAGGGTTGCGTTGCAGCGTTCCATTGCTCGCGTGGTTCGTCTTCTATCCATTCTTTTTCTTTCCTCTTTGCCTCCTCACCATCTTTTTTTTTGTTTCCGTCCCCATTGTCCGATAATACTTTGAAGCCTATTGGGCCACGACGGTTCCTCTCTCTACCAGGGTACTTGCAGTAGAGAGAAGGCCGGCATCATGAGGGTGGAGGGGCAGAGACAATGTGTCGACGGAAGCGCTCAGGACGAAAAGGTTGATGAACTTGGATCCTCACTCACCGGGCGTAGAGGTGCCTCTTTCCTACACGTAATTTCCTTCCCATGAGGAGGGACGCCGGATGTCGGCTGAGGCACAGGACATCCGATTGACCAGGGGCGGGTATCATCGTGGGAGTGTGGCCAGTGCCAGGGAATGCACCATCCTCGGCCAAGTGTTGCACCAGAGCCGTCCGTCGGGCCAAATCGTTGGGTTTCCCAGGGCTGACATGGGGACATGACGGACACGCCAGCGAGGACAAGGGGGAAAGTGTCAGTCCACACTGATTTTCAAAACGGGAAGGTCGAAGCCGAATCAAGCTCTTTGACGCCTGTTCTCGTTCGTGAGGACAGCAACATTCTGCGAACACTTCATCTTGACTTCAAGCCTGTTTGATGTGATGAACAAACCAACAAACCAACGAGAAATATGGATATTGGTCAATTCCCTCTTTCTCTCTCCGTCTCATCTCTCTCTTCTATTCGCTATTGGTGGTGGGTCTATTCCCCCCTTCATCTGATGAATCAATTGATTGAATGATTGACAGAGTTGGTCTTGTGTGTGGGCGTCCTAGTGAGTTGGATGTCTATGTTGACTCGGTTCCAGGGAATGGAAAGGTTCAATTGCACCACCCCATGTCTTGATCTGAGCCTCCGGGCCCTAGGTTATCACGGCCTCTTTCCGCATATCCGCAGTGATAAGGGGAGTGAGATACATACATGTGATATTGGCAGCAGATTGGCAGGTACAAGTAAATAACAGTGAAGTAAATGGGAGATGAAAAGGGTGAGGAAAACCGGGGAACGATAAGCTTGAGCAGAGCTTCTTCTTTGATCCGCGGCTTTCCAGCTCGATCCCCTGGTCCGTGTGGGCGGGTAGCTCGCTCGTCTACTGAAAATAGCACAAGATGATAGCAGTGTTAATACACTTGATTTAACTCATGGACCCAATGGCGAGTCGGCGGATGATGGGGATGGGAAACGGGAAACGGGAAACGGGTGCCGGGATTAATATGTTCGGAATGAAGGGATAATTGTGAGGGTTCTTCAAAGCCGAGCTACACGGGATCAATCAATCATGGATGGCGGAAGTGTTTGTTTCGGGATATTATCACAGTCTGTTATACATGGATTGATTGAGAGAATCAATTGATGCTCATTGCACGTGCAGGTACGAACGAATATTACCTTTGATACAGGGTGAAAAGTTACCTGTTTTCCATTCAAACCTTTTCCTCTCATATCCATCCATTAGATCAATTGATGCCTCTCTGGACCCAGCCAAGTTGAAGCTGTTTTAAGAGCTCCCGAGGTTCAACAATGAGTTTTCACATGAGATAATGGATTGATCAATGTACCCATTATAGCAACATCTCGATTTTCATCAAAGTACATGTATA